TTGGATAAGAGGAATGCAGAAAACCACCTGATCCCAGTCAAACAGAAAAAGGAACACGACATCAAGATCTCGTTTCCGGTCCCTTCTGGATGCAACGAACGCACCTCGCGTCCAGGGGGCTCCCAGTTCACGTTTGATTTTTCTGTGGCTTATACAAGGCAGAGGCCTTCCTCCCCCTTCCCCGCAGAGTCGTGTACGTGCGCCTGTCAAGCCTGCTACGGTCGGAGCCTTTTCTGTCCTGTCCAGCGACGGCCAATCGCCCCTATCTATACTGTGTGCCAGTCGCGAAGCCCATTTGCCTTTTTTCTGCTTTTGTTTCTCGTGCTCGGAGTGTTTTGTCGCATCCACTGAATACACGCGCGCTTCGTCAGTTGCAAGGGCACCTGGGACCTTAGAGCAGTCTTTGAGGATCTCCGGAGCACTATAGGAGCTGCGCATTGCAACGTTGATGCCAACTTACGGAGAAATCCGTTGCCATTACGGGGACTGCTTCTCGCAACCTGAGTAAAAAGTGGCGACAAATCGCTCTCATATGCGAAGTCTGGCCTTCCGATTAACAAAACCTCTAGCCGCGAAGCTGCGAGGCAGGAGACGGATGGGGGAAGGGCCATCGGTCGCCCCGCCTCCCTTTCGGCAACCAATTTCCGGGTCGCGGTAACCAGCCCCAGCGTCCCCAGTGCAGCGACGTCCCGTCCGTGCCGTCAGATGCAGGCAGCGTGCCGCCCTTCCCTGTCGATAAGCAGGATGAGAAGTCCGGCAATGTTTTTATGTTGCCGGCGAAGACGCGCCCTTCCCACACGGGGCAGTCCGAAGAAAGATTAGGTTAGGTTTTATTGCCACAGTAGTTGGAGTAGCTACTTGCGATGAGGTGAGCACTAGAAAGTTGCAAGAGGCGAATAATGTCAAAATGCAAACTTATTTTTGATGATGCAATTTCGCATGTGCTCACGCGAGACCGTGGGAGCTCTGGAGGCGTAGAGACGAACTGAATGCGAATTGCAGGACTGTGGCTACAAGCGGGACGCTGCTGCCACAAGTGCCAGAACAAGCCGAAAATCGGCGGCCGGCGGGGCAGCGGTAGAAGCTTCCGTGCCGCCCGCCACGGCGCCGCGTCGCCGCACAACCCCAATGCAAGTTCAATTCACCCCCCTTCCCACCCCGCCACTTCCTCCAACTCAATTCGGGTGAGTTTTAGGTTGGCGCATCTCAGGCGAGTCGTGCAAACGATTGGGGGACCCATTGGAGGGGCCCCATTCGGGTGCGCATTGGGGCGCACGTCGCGCTTGCTAATGCCGCGAGCACCGCAAAATGCGGCAAAATGCGGCCGATTGGCAAAGTTAATTTGAACCTGGATGGCCACCCTGGACAATGGCCAGCACCACCCGAGCAAGGACTCTACAACAAACTTGCCTCACTCGCCTGGCTGTGTACGCCAACAATATCGAAGGTCGCCGAGAACCAGCGTCTGAATACCGGCGTGCCCCTCCATTCACCGTAATTTGACCTCAAAACAAAAAAAAATTCAGACTCACCACAAGGGACTTTTTTCTAAGAATATCTGTCTGCACAAAGGCTGTGCGCTGATAAGCCCAATGCCAGAGCGACGCGCGAAGGGCCGCGGTCCTTTATTTGCAGGTCCTCGACCAAGATCCTCCCCCCGGGCCTGCAAGGCCCTGCCAGCCGGGCCGGGCTTTGACGTCGTTTTATCGCCGTGCCTCGCCGTGCCTCGCCGTGCCTCGCTGGCCCCGAGCCTGGCGATGAGGACTACCCCAATTCCATCGAGAAGTTTTCTTGCAAACTGCACTCCCCTCCCCTCCCACTTCCCTGCCGCGCCACGCGCTACGCACACTCCAGGCCCTCAACGCCCTCAAGGCCCTCAAGGCCGGGCCCTTTGACCCCTGAGTCGTCTCACTCCCCAAGGGCAGCAGGGCGCCATCGAGCCTTCTCTCTGCGTCTCTCTCCCACCGCAACAAGCAGACCCGCGAGAGCGAGAGAGACACAGCGACGCACTGTGTTCGGAATCATTCTGCCTGGCAGCTATCTCAACGAGTAATGGCTCCTCTACTTACTCAGACACACGGATAAGAAGACATTGGGTTTGCGCTATCGCGACAACATCTCGGTCATTTGTTGGTGAATCCTATTTTTGTATCATTGCATTTTTGTTGCTGGAGTTGGCAGTGACGGTGATGCGACGACCGACCTCGTCCACACCGACCGTCTCCTCGACCTACGCGGAGAAGTCGCCCTTCCATCGCCTGTCACTGCGGGTCCCTCGTTCAAGTCGCCGTGCCAGGCTTGCCGGGCGTGCCACCGCTGCCACTGATCGGATCGACTCGGATCAGCCCTGAATCGATACCCGTGCCGTTATTGGGGAACGCACTTGCACAGATCTCGCCACCATTTTACAAAAGGGTTTTTAGGCGAGAAAGTGTGGCGCGGACTCGGGGCATTAAACGAACCCCAGGCGGCGTGTCGGAGCGGAATACGAAAAACGAGGAAAACAGGGGAAGGGGAGGATGGGGGGAGGGGAGGGGGGAGGGGCGATGGGAAGGGCGGGGAGGGAGGGGTATAGAAGAAAGTGTGGCAGCAATCGATTGTTTACACACCTGCCGTCGTCGTGATCTATGGAAGGCACGCGACGCATTAGGCTGAAGGTACGACGCGTGCACACTCTCTCACTCACACACCGGTGCAACGATAGCGTGCGTCGTGGTCGTAATGTTGTCAGCCTTACAGGAGAGAGGCAGAATTAGAATCAGGCGGAAGTGTCGGAGCGATTAAAGAGGCAACAATGTCAATAACATTCCAGTGACACCCCCACCACCACTCCCTTCCCCCCTCCGATCCCACGCTCAGCGTCAGCCAATGGACGATCGCCATTCTGGTCCCATGGCACCCCATGGCATCCCATGGCGGCGTATGGCGGCACAGTCGAGACAGTCAATGGCTGCGCTGCGCCGCGCTGCGCTGCCTGTCGTTATTTTCGACGACAGGGGATTATGACTGTAAAGCGCATCGCAATGCCATGTAAAGACGCGTCCTGCGGAGGGGGAGGGGGGAGGGGGCGTTGGCAGGGCTCAGCAGCGCTTGGCAGCCCTGTGCGTCGTCGCCCACATGCTGAGTGAAGCTGGGAACATGCTCTCATGTCCTCGATATGCGACCCCCCACCCCCCACCCCACCCCTCGGCCCTTCCCCGGCAGGCTCACTTTTTCACCCGTCCGCCTCGCGTCTGCGAGTTGCCAACTGTGTAGTCTAAATCTTGTAAAGAGTCTCTCCCCATGCAGCTCCGCCCCCATGCATTTTTAAGTGCGACGACTGCGACTACTGCCCTCTGCTTCCAAATAATGATTTCTCTCTGTGTCTCTCTCGCACCGCTATAGGGCGCCCCGTGAGTGTGAGAGAGTGGAGTTGTGGAATGGCGCGAAACTTCGGCGGTGCACTACTTTCCCGCCAAAACGGTAATCATTGAGTCCCGGACGGACTGGCCGCACGCACCCTCACCCCTCGTCGGGGCGCCCGGGCGGTGCGTGGAGGGCCGACAGGGCCGTCCCCACAGAAGGGTTTGTAATAAAAACCAAGGAAAGCAATAAATCATGTATTCTTTTCTTGGCTGCATTCGCAGGGTGGGCCGCCCCTCGCTCCATTAGGGTGGCTGGGAAGGGAGGGGCAGTAAGGGGGAGGGGCGCCGCGACGTCGCATCCGCCGCGGTGGGGCCTGCCGGGCCGAGGGCCGCGCCGAGGGCCGGGTGGCAAGCCTCGCCTGTCGCAGGCTGTTGTAGCGGCCGTGGGCTGTCTTAGGCTGTCATAAGCTGTCGGTCTCCTAGAAAGGGAGCAAGATGCAGGGTCCACCTGAAGATGGCTCAGGCACCCTGCTTGTCACGACAGGTCCCCACGGGGCAACCGATGCGGTGGAGAGCTCCTGGGCTAAAACCCAACCCCCTTTCCCCCTCCCGTTAAGGCCCTGAGAGCAGTGGTTGAGGTCGAACAGCGACTCCTTGGCGTCGCCCCGGCCTCGGTCTTGGCCGCGCACTCTCTTTTGGTCCACGCAAATGCGCGCATCAGTGGTGGCGGCCCGGGGATGGCAAAATTGGTTCGGACCAGTGCGCGGCCCGCGGGCGGGTGTCTCCACTCGGAGGGGGTTCTGACTCTGGGATTCTGGCTGGAGCCAGAACTCTGCATGAATGACCTACTTCTCGGCCAACGCGCCGGTCTGAGTACGCACTGCAACTGTCCAGTTGCGCCATCTTCGCCAAGCTTTATATCCAGTTCCTGAACTCAACGCTCAAACAATCTAACACACGTTTCCAATGACCGGTGCAGACGTCGCCTGAACGCTCGCTGGGGGCGCTACTGCCCCCTGCCTGCAGTCCGCCGGGACGCGAGCTCGTTTTGAGTCTTGAGCGATTGCTAGCACACTGCGCCGCTTCGCATGGCCTCGTACTTGGTGGCAGTGCCTGCAGTGCCAAGGCAAGGCAGGCACGTGACTGGCAGTTTGACGGACCGACGTGTTATTCCGTGTCGATCATCTCCCTAATTGACGGCGCTACGGAAAAGCAGCGCCGTGTTTGTCAAAGCCCACAAACCACCGCGCAGCCATAGCGCAGCCATAGCGCAGCCAATCAAACCATATCGATCTCTCATGAATCCAATTAACTGCACTTTAGTCCAACGTGGATGGCATCGGACACGATGGTGAAATGAGAGCGGTGTTGATGTATGTCCCGGCACTGAATAGATAGTATGTTTCATTGTGTTCTCCTTTTCGTGTTGCCATCATTTATTTCCGGCGGCCCTCCCTCCTATTCTGAGAGGGCCAGTGTTGTTTTGATGCGTCGATGAGTGTTGTATTTTTAGGGGGATGGTCCAAGGCGGCAATGGGGGCGCCGCAGACAAAGATGCGACGCAAACGAACGGATATTGACTGCGACTGTGTGTGCGTGTGTACGTGTATCAGAAATTGGAAGGAAGGGTCGCAAAACAGAAGAAAAACGATGAGATAGGAGAAAAGCCCGTTTATTAGCAAGATGAGGTTGGTCGAGAGCTGCCCGGCCAGGCAAGCAGCCAACGAGGAAGGAACAAAAGACGAAAAACACAGACGACTACTTTTTTGACAGTTTTAAAATTCCTTAACACGTTTTTCTTACAAAACTGGAGCACCACTTCCCAGATCACAGATAAACCTGCCGAGCGATACTACTGATATGGCGCGGGCTGTCCGCTGCGTCACCCTCGCGGGACCTGCAATGCAACGCACGCATCGCAACGTAACGCACTCAAAGGGAGCCGCAGGGAAGGTGTGTCTCTCTCTTCCTCATTTCTCTGTCACACTCTGACTCTTTTTCACACTCTCTTTCATTCGAACTTTCATTTTCTCCGAGTTCAAAACAAAAACGAATCTCCGTATCAAACCTTTTAAAAAACCAAACATAAATTATCTCTCTTTCTCTGACTCGCGGTCACACACATTTGCACTTTAACAATAAAATGTATCACACGTTCTCAACACACATTCTCTCTTTCTCCCTCTCACGCACACATACACGCAACACATTTTCGACACTACATTCATTAGACTAGAGGCAGTTAGCACGCGACGCGACTGGAGGGGGTAAATGCAATTTTCCCTGATTTACAACAACAGAAGCCAAATCGCTGTTGCCTTTCTCAGAGAACGAAAACAGGTCGCCGGTATTCGAACCTAAGACCATAACAATCTCAAACGCTAATAGAAACTGCCACGAAAATATTGCTGTTCTGTGCGGGGTTTTCCTTTAGCGAATGTCACAGCACCAACCACAAGGACCTTCGTCTAAATCCTCTTTATGGCTCCCTAACGAAACAAGTCACTTAAAAAAACAATTTTTCGTAGAAATTTTCACTGATTTCTCCATACATTGGATGTTGAGCTTATGGGTCATGGGCCCATCCCCGCTAATTCAGCGAAAAGATTCTCAGGACAGCGGAAACGATGGTCGTGGGTTCAAGTCCCGACTGAGTGTGGTTGGGGCTGTGTGGGACAAAAAAACAAATCTAAAGTGGCACAGCGGTTCTTTCCCCCTTTTGCGTCTCTCTCGCTCTGGCAGAGGCGGCGGAAGGGGCGAGGGAGACAGGGAAAGGTGGCTCATGGACCCCGCAAAGACGCGGCGCGGCGCGGCCGCAACGCAGCACAGCACAGGAACGAACGAACGAACAACGAGAGAGAAATAAGGTACGACTGTAACGTGAGTCAAGGGCTGTGGACGATGCTCACAGAGCCTTCGCAGACACAGACCGTCTTGAACACGCCAATTATTATTATAATCATTATTCATATTATCATTATAAATGTTGTTATTATTATTGTTATTTTATTATTTATTATTTATTATTAATATTATTATTATTATTTTAATAACCGTCAGTATTTTAACCATACTTTTGGGGGTGGGCACATTGTGCACAACGTACAGCCCAAATCCACGACACTACCTCGCCGAAGCATCGGCTGAGTCTTTTCAGTTTTCTGGGTGTCCTTCCACCGTCTCTCAGTCCGTCACACGATACGACGTCTTTTCGAAGCCACACGCACAACCACGTCACGGTCGGCACCCGAACACTCGAAGGACACCCGAAGGACACCCGAAGGACACATGAAGGGCGTTACGGGCAGCCGCACTCCTCCACCACCATCTTGGGGAGGTCCCTCTTGATGATGTTGTTGTCCATGTCGAAGTAGATGAGGGACATGGAGCTGAAGCGGAGCGGCGCGCAGCAGGGCTGCATGTCCACCAGCTTGTTGAGGCGACGGTACTCCTCCAGCACGTGGGAGTGGTAGTTGTGGTAGGTGTCCGGGGTGCGGTAGTGGCTGCAGTTCCCCCGGCAGTAGTTGGCCCGGTAGCCGCCGGGCGCGATGATCCAGTCGTCCCAGCCCAGGTCCTTGAAGCTCACGTAGAGGTCCTGCTTGCAGCACTCGCCGGGCATCGCCCCCGAGCACGCCACTGCGCGCCGCCGAACTCGCCTGCAGGCAACCGGGCAAAAATCAGAAGCTTGCCACAAAATGACAACAATGCCCGGCTGTGGAATTCACAGACCTGGCGATCTCACGACCAACTCAAAATGTAAAAGTAGCTGCCGCTGAAAAAAGCCGGCCCAGACCGCTGGGAAGTCGGAGGACTCCGCCTTGTGCAAATACTGTCTAGGATCCGCACGCCCCCACCCCCACCCCTTCGAAATGCGATGCCGAGGTCGTCCCAGTTAGTCGTGCCATTGTGGCCGAGGCTGGCCGAGGCTGGCCGAGAAGTCCACCCCGCCCCGCCCCCCTGACCGAGGCTAGTCGGCCCGCGTCGCCCGCGTCGCAAGCCACAAGGCCAGTTTTCCAGCTTACTCAGCAATAGGCCCAATTTTCCGCTCCGGCCGCCGCGCACAACCGAATCTATCTCGAAAATGCCTTTCGCCTTTTCGTCCAGTCCATAAATAATCTTACGGGGCGAAATCTAAGCGGGCTGCCACGCCGCGCCGCGCCACGCTGACCACGGGGCGGCAAATTGGGAGGCCATGAATCAGATCAAGGAACGCATAGCCAAGTACATTGCCGCGCCAACCCCCTCCCCCTCCCCCGGCCAAAAGGATGATGACATCCCGGCAGCGTGACATTGGCCTACAAAAAAAGGCCGAGCTAATTTGGTGCGCTTGCGGAAAAGCAGCTGGAACTCCGTCATCTTGCACCTGTGTGGGGCGCCCCGTGAGTGCGAGAGGGACTCCAGGTACTCACTTGCTGGGCGGCTCCGTCTTGACGACGAGGAAGGGCCGGCGCCGGTCGTCCGTGGGCCCCTCCGGCCGGAACAGCGTGGCCTCCACCAGCTCGCCGCAGCCCGAGCAGTCGACAAGCAGGCGCAGGCGGCCCCGCGACCCGGAGCCCTCGCTGTACCAGTGCTGCACGGCCCGCGTCAGGTTGAGCTTCTTCCAGCCCAGGTCGCTCAGCGGCACCGCCAGCTTGCCCGCGATGGACGTCTGCGAGTCGAACACCTGCAACCGGCCAGTGGGCCACGGCCTTAGTTCCCTTGTCTTGGGTACAAGCAGAGGAATGCTGGGCCGTGGGAAACAAATCTAGAAAGAATGGCTCCCTGAAGAACTATCTGGACCCATATCCACCCTTCGTCACTACTTTTAATTAAACTTATGTTCCCAGATTTATGAGGGAACTGCACCACAAACCACCAAAGCAAACCGACAATATCGCTGCGACCACAGTCTTGATTTTCGAGCCGAGAGACGAACCCCGGCAACAAATGAGAATTAAATTGAAACATGCTTCGTCAGCCCTGGGCCTCACTGCGTTCCGGGCCCAATTTAGAGAGGGACGGAGTGAAATGTGCCTCCACACTAGGAAGGAGAGCAATATGTCAAACATTCCCGGCACACAATGCTGGCACGTCCGTGGGCTTGGGAGCCACTGTACCGGGGTCTCGCATCAAGGCATGCAGGTCGCCACCGAGAACAACATCATCGGAGGAGCAGAAGGCTCGGTCTGACCCAATTCGATGTCCGGCCCACTCCATCGTCCTCTTGAATCGAACCAAAAGCTTCATACTAGATCCAATGCATTTCTGGTACAAAGGGCTAAAAACCCTCTCTTGGAGGAGGCTTTAGCCGAGTGATTTTCCGTAGCAGCGTTGCCCTGGCATCTCTCTCGCTCCCCGACGGGACGCCCCATGAGTGCGACGGAGACTCACCTCGTCGCTGACGTGGGTCGTGTTGAAGTGCTTGCCGTGCACGCGGAACACCCAGAGCGTGAGGTTGCGGTCCGCCACCTTGCGCAGGCTGCGGCGCGTGTCCACGCGCACCCACAGCGTGGCCTCCTGGATGGGCAGCCCCTCTTCCTCGCGCGCCAGGGAGAACTCCAGCAGCGTCTGCCCGTTCAGCTCGTGGCCTGCAACATGGAGAAAAGAGACCGTCAGTGTCGCTCGCGAGGAGTGTGGCCGTGCGCCCTACGCCCTGCCACCCTGGCTGCGGTCTCTCGCAGGCGTGTTCCTGTTGTCGCTACCCCTTGCTGTCCACCGCTGTCCCATGCAGTCCCAGGCTTTCCCCGCGCCCCGCTGTCCCGGGCTGTCCGTGCCTGTCCCCCGCTGCCCCTGCGGGCCCTGCTGCCCCTCGCTGGTCCGTCCTGGCGTCCTGGCCCGCCGCCAGGGACCGCCCCGCCCCAAGCCTGAGGGCGTGGAGGGTAATGGTGGAGGGGGACAGGGGGACACACCCCCGCACCGGACATACTGCCAACATGACTCCGTCCCGAGCTCCGCGCTCCGCCTCCTCAAGCAGTCCGTCAGTCACGTCGCCTCACGCCGCAGTGGCCGCAGTACACAGTGCGCCGTGATTCCGCACTCCGTCGCTCTGTCTCGCTCGCACCCCGGCGGGACACCCGTGAGTGCGACAGAGACAGAGCGGCGAAACGACGCCTCGGAGTCAGTCTGCTGTGAGCCCCGAGTATCGACGGCGCGGGGGGCTCGGGGGGGCGCGGGGGGCGCGCGCGAACCGTCAGGGGGCAGCACTCTCTGGTGGCGGCACCGGCAGCACGCGGCGAAGGGCCCCACCGCCCAGCAAAAGGGCCCTTCGTAACGCAGTAACGCCGACGCCACCCCGCACCACCCCGCTCCGCCCGCCCCGCCCCGCCGGCCGGCGTGAATCAAAAGGGCCCACCGTGCGCCGCACTCGCATGCAATTCAAACCAAGTCCACTGAAAATTTGCCAAAACATCAGTAAAAAGCAACAAAAAAGAAAAGAAACACGCAGTTGTTGATTTTACTTTTTATTGTTCCGACCGCACATGAGTGACGTTTTTGTATCTGAATAATAAATTTTGGATCGGGGCTGATTGGGACTTGACGCGGACCGGTGTCATGCAAGAATACGCAAGAGCCTCGCTGGAATCCCTCCTCTTCCCGCCTATTTTATTCACATCGCCGCCATTCAGTTCGATGCCCTGAAGGCGCGTGTTACCCTTTAGGTGCAGTCGACGGATTATTTTCGTGTTTTAGGGTAAGCCAGGTAGCCGCTCGCATTCACGGGCGGTTTTAGCCTGCGAGCCACCACACTGCTGGCATGACGTTGGCCGTGGTGTGGCCATGCTGGTGTAACCCAGTGTAACCCAGGCCGCCCTTTGCGGCGAATAAATTCAGGACGTTCCCTCGGCTCGGCTCGGCTCGGCTCGGCGAGGTCGGCGTTCCAGTGGAGGGCCTCGCTTCGTTTCGCCGAGTGGAGGCCGGCGAGGCCAGCGTGCCGGTGAGGGTCTCGCGGGGCAAGGGCTGCACTGAGAATGAAAGAGTCATGATCATGACTAAAATTTTGGGTGAGGAATTCTTTATTACCCAAATTCGAGTGAGGAAATTTTCCTCGCCCAAATTTGGGTGAGGAAAGTTTCCTCACCCAAATTTGGGTCATAATACTATGGTGCTATATAGGGAGCTGATACACCCTTCCTCACCCAAAATTGGGCGAGGAAGCTTTCCTCGCCCAAATTGGGCGAGGAAACATTCCTCGCCCAAATTTGGGTGAGAAAGTAAACCTCGCCCAAAATTAGGTATTGATCATGACTTTTTCATTCTCAGTGTGGGGTCGCCGCGGTCGCCGCGCCGCTGCCGGTACCCGTACCCGCGTGGTACCCGAGGCCCCGGCGCCGCCCTACCTAGCCAACAGGTGTTCCCGCGCTCCGCGCCTTGCCGTGCCGCGCCGCGCCGCGCCAACCAGGAGGGAGGGAATGACATCAAGACAGGATATGACATTCGCCAGCAGTTTGGTTCGGAACAGGGTCGCTCACTCCGCGTCCTTTCGCGCTCACGGGGCGTGCAGAGGTGAGAGCGCTGCTGAGCGCGAAGGTGGGTCCGCCGGACGGACGCGGCGGCGCGTCAGCGCGTCATGGCGGCAGGGCAGGGTCACCGGCACCGCGCCGCCGCGTCTGCCAAGTCAAGTCTGAGGGTGGAGTGGTGTGAGTGGAGCGCTGCGAGGCGGGACAGGTGGAGGCGGCGCCGGGCCGTCACTTGAACACGGCGTTCCTTTCGACAGGGGCACGCGGGGGACGCCAAGGGGGATTTTGTTGTGCCGGACGAAATTTCCGGAGCTGTGCGGTGCTGTGTTCGGGTCACGGACCTCGGCGACGCGGCACGAAGAGCGGACAGACGATCTAATTGGCGGCCATGCATTATTCGAGCGCCGGAAAAGTTGCGACGGGCGGGCAGTGCGGACAGTGCACCTGTCCTTGTCCTGCCGACAGGTTGGTCCCGGCTTGGCCACCCCGATCCCACCTCACGCCACCTCACGCCCGCAGCGTTGTATTTTTACTGAGGTGCAATGCCCCCGCCGAGGGAAAACCAGGCAACCCTGCTGCTTCACTGGTAAAACTTAAGCGTAACTTTATGCTTGAGTCAAGCATAAAGTTACGCTTGAAGACGTTACGCTTGAAATCAAGCATAGGCTAGAAATTTCCCCATGGATTTAGATAGGGGAAATCTTGGCGGATGAGCCTGTTACGCTCGATTTCAAGCGTAAACTGATTACGCTTGAAAACAGTGGGTAATACTACGCTTTAGTTTTACCAGTGTTGCCACCCCAGCCCACCGCACAGACCGCGTCGCACACACCAAGGCTATCCCACGTGCCCGTGGAGTAGCACGGCCTTCTCCGCGAATATAAAAAATAAGAAGAGAAGAGGAAAATGGTCCCTCCTTTGCCCTTGGACGCGTTCGCCATCGCGCGAGTGATTTGTCGCGCTGCACTAAGCCACCGCGGGGAAGGGGTGGGGGGGAGGGGCGTTTTTGGAAACGATGCGCACCGAAGCAACGGCGGCATCAACATCAAGGAGACACTGGACCACGCTTGGGGGGGGGGGGGGGGGCCTTCGCCTCCTTGACGCATTCAGAGCACCCCCCTCCCCTCCCCCCACTGCAACCCCCCCCCCCCACCCCTTCCCTCCGAAATCGCCACGCCACACCGCGCCGAGGCGTTCCGCGTGCGGCGCGGCGCGCTATGGCGAGATGACTCCGTGGGGGTGGGAAGCTCGGACTACGCAAGGCCACGCTAGGCCGAGCGGGACCACGCACGGCTACGCAAGGCCGTCTCGCCATGGAAGCAATCGTCACAGTAAAAAAAAAGATAATGAACAACAGTAGCAAGACTAAAAGAACAGATCTTTCACAAAATATTCATAAATTTCGTTTGAAAAAGGGTTAAGATTGAACATAACGGGAAGGGCCCGGTTTTGATGCGGCAACTCAGAAAAGTAAAGTGCTACAAAACCATTGAACAAAAAAGAATCTTGACTTTGTTTACACAGTTTTCCTCCAGAAATGTTGTCAGTGTTCGTTCATTGAGCCAACACCTACACACGCTAGGATTGCTGATAGTTTTTATTGGGTTGTACTCCATAAATTGACCTCTTCAAAAAAATGATCGTTTCGTTAAAAACACCATTTTCCGTATGAGTAAATTTAAGAACTCCTCCAGCAACATCTTCTGTTACCCATACCGCCGAAACCTCAAGAAAACTCGGACAGTTTTCCTCATCTAAAAACCCCGCGAAAAACAGAGAGACTTTCTTGGGTCGTGACCCGTGCCAAGTCTCGGCTCGAGGAGCGCTGCCAGCTCGTCTGGCCGGTACCTCCGCGGCGCACGCGGCACGCGCCACGCCGAGCCAAGCCGCCTTAGATTTTTTTTGCCGCAGCGAACCGGAGCGACCGGAGCCGGCCGGAGCCACCACCATCGATCCAGTCTGCAGCACGGCCAGCACGGCCATGCCGGAGGCAGAGGCAGCCGGAGGCAGCCAGATCCAGAGGCCAGCCAAGGCGTGGCGGGGCCCGGCGGCCCGCCGGCCCGGCGCGGCACCCACAACACACGCACGATGGGCGTGGTGCGGCGCGCGTGCCGCGTGTCGGAGCCGCGGGTCGTCCGCGCCACCACCAGCCCAGCCACTCCACTGCCAGTGACCGGCGGCCGCGAGCGCCTGCCGAGCTGAGGGTAGGCAGTGCCGCCGAACACGGCAGCACACGGGTTGCCTACCTCCGCGGCGCGCTGCGGGGCTAGACGAGACTCGAGCTCATTCCGGTGGCGTTTGTCACCGGCGATGGAGATGGAGCGTTCGGCAGCGCGGGCCTCGCAAGAGGGGGAGAGAGGGGGGAGGGCGACAGAGTCAAATTGACGTCGCGACGCCCCACGTGAGCAAAAGTTGGCAACAAATGACTGGAAGGGGGAAGCACATGCCTGCAGGCAACTCGCTAATGAGAAGACAAACGTGAAGTGCACTCCCCCTTCTCCACAGTTTGTCAAATTTGGCTGTTGTTACCGCTGGGCAATCTGCGCAACTGCGTGGATACACATGCAAATCAAAGAAATAGTCATGGAGAAGTCGACAGTTGGTTGACTTGGATACAGAGCGCGCTGTCGGCAAGTTCTCGTCCTCAGGGCGGCGTCTGGGTGGAGCCGAAATGCCACAAGCCACGAGGAATCATTGAACAGCAGGGAGGACTCGGAACAGTGCAGCAGAGTGATGCCAGGCATAGGTCACGACGGCGAAGGGTTGCGCGAGGGAGGTCGGTGCTCCTCGAGCGACGCGGCGACGCGCGAGGCGACGCGCACCACAAGTCAAAGTGCCCCCAGCCCCTGGAGACCGATTCCGAGAGTCGTTTTCGTCGCTCTGTCTCTCTCGCACCTACACGCGACGCTCCATGCGTGCGAGAGAGACAGGAAGACGAAACCGACACTCGGAATCAGTCCGCAGCCCCAGTCCGGGCCTGCCAGAAAGTGATGGGGAGAGCTTAAAAATGCGCGGGACGTGTGGTGCCTTGTCACTGCACTGCACATGCTGAGGGAGCGACGCTGCGGCACAATGCGCTTCGTTAGCAGCAGGGCCTCTCTGTCTCTCTCACATTCCCCCCTTGAGAGCGACAGAGACAGAGAAGCAGTGTTCGGAATCGATCAAGTATCCCCGTACGTAGACCATGGCGCGTCCCGTTTCATTCCCAGTCCAAATTTCCCCAAATTGCCTCGTGAACACCGTCCAACGCACCAAGAGGAAGTACACGACGCACTCACGGCTCTTCGCGTGACATCAGTTCGAAATCAGATCTCCTCCGGACGAGTTGCAGCAGCCACTTTGCATAAATGTGAACCCCCGCTCCCCCTCCTCTCACACACACACACACACACACACACACACACACACACACACACACACACACACACACACACACACACACACACACGGACGCGCGCGGGGTGCGAAAGAAAGGGGCGTACAAACACGTCGCGTCTTTTGTGCGGGGCGGGAAAAAAAGGGCGACGAAGCCCCGCGCCGCGCCTAGTTTGAACCGCGAGCGCCAACATCGAGGGAGAACAATGATGCCGAGTGCGACACGGCGGCGTGCCGCGGGCGGTGCGGTCAGCGGCGAGGCGGCTGCGATGCTCGTTTTCGTTCCCGCCTCGCACTGCAGACCGATTCCGAGAGTCGTTTTCGTCGCTCTGACTCCCTCGCACAAGGGACGAAATGGACTGCTGAGTGGTGCGTGGTGGTGCGCGCCGCGGCATTTTATGCAAGACGAGGCAAAGACAGGCCTGCCCGGCACGGGCAGCCCAGTTAGCAGATTGCAGCGGCCGGCGGCAGGCCGGCGGCCTCACCACAAATCCGGATTTATCCGCGGTCCAATCCACTTAAAGCGGCAGAGTCTCTCGCGGGGAGGGGGAGGGGCGGGTCAACCTAGTAGCCCCGTGGCGCAACCTGTGAGAACGGCCGGCGAGGCGGAGCACCCGGTGCAGCACAGTGCCTCAGCACGGGGCAGCACGGGGCAGCACGGGGCAGCACGGGGCAGTACGGGGCAGTACGCCCCCTCGATGGCCGAGATTCTGGGCCACTCGGGGAATGCAGTGACATGCCACTCCCGGCCCGCGAGGCCTCTAGTGCCTCTAGCAAGGCCCGGCCGGCCTGGGTTGGCTTAGGTTCACAGAGCGGCCAGCACCTGAAGAGGCGGTGGGGCCGGTGGGAGCCCCGAGGCAAATCTTTAATAGTTACTCGAGAGATTTTGCTCGACGGCCTACCCGACAAATCTAATCATTCGCCATCGAGGCTGCCCATTTAAAAGCAGGGTTCTTGAAAGCAGCTCTGGGGTTGTTGGCACTTTCATGAGTTTGATGGTTCGATTTTAAAAGTCTCATCTAATCTCATTTCGAGAGACTATTTTTATGGGTGTCTTAAGCCCCGAACTGCAGCGCCAACAGTGCAGCGGGCGTGAAAGGCGTCAGTGACAGGAAATGGTCCAAGGTGTGGTGGTGCCGTGTCGTGCCGTGTCGTGTCGGCAAGGCGGGTACTGCAGGTGTGAGGGAAGCCCCTTCGAGGCCTTGGGGGTCGCCCGGCTTGGTTCTCTTTGCCTGCGTAAGCGGCCCCCGCGGCCCCCGCGGCCCCCGCGGCCCCCGCGGCCCCCGCGGCCCCCGCGGCCCCGCCCTCGCCTCGGACAATGCATCTGCTGCACGCCATGGCCAGCACGTCGGCGCGAGGGGGGGGGGGGGAGGAAGGCTCCCCAGGCCGAATCAAGGCGGCCAATGCATGGCAATAATGTTATTACCGCGCTGGCGGCCGCACCGCACACGAACAGGCGGCCATTTTCGGGAGCACGCCCCTCTCTGGTGCCAGAAAGGCAGCAAGGGGCGGACTGACGAGAAAGAACGACCGCGTGGACGCATGCCCGCCTTGCTGGCTGATTTCGAACGACATCACTCCGTCTCTCTCACGGCCCCGGCAGGACGCCCAATGAGTGCGAGAGAGACGGCGCTGCAGTTTGAAATGAGGCAAGGAGGCGCGGCAAGGCCGCCCGCGCACAGTGGGCCAGAAGACCGGTGGAGGCGGCCAAAACTCTAGACGCGTTTTGGGCTCCAGAGTCGCTAAGCAGGACTCGAACCGAACGTGTGACCCCACCAATGGATTGCTCTCCGAACGAGGAATCCATTGGTGGGGTCACTCGTTCGGCTCGAGTCCCATTTAGCGACTCTGGAGCTCAAAACGCGTCTAGAGTTCTGGCCGCCTCCACTGGTCTTCTGGCCCACTGTGCCGCGCCGCGCCCTCCACGCTCTACGCGTCTCCGAGTTGAGTCAACTCTCAACGTGTCTCGTGTGGAACGGCGAGGACGGCGCCGGTGCCGGCGCGGGATGGAGCGGCGCGGCGCGGCGCGGTGGGACTCGTCTAGCCGCGGCCGGCCTGCCTCGCCTCCGCACGGGACTCGGGCCTCGCCGAGCGCCCGGCAACGCAGGCATAGGCAAACCCGCGGCGCGGGCGAGCGGGCCAACTGCCTACCTCGCAGGCGGCGCCCTGCCGCACGCAGCCCGCTCCCACTCCCCTTCCCCCTCCAGCGAAACCAACGCATCCCGGGCTAAGTGATAAGTGTATTAGCCCGGGCGAGACAAGTCGCGCGTCCAAGTCTTCCTCCTCCCCGGTACCCGGTCACAAATGGGGCGTCGACGAGGCGCGCGGCCCAGCGGACGGACACCCTGGTCGTCCATTGGCCGGCGTTTGTGACCCGTCGAGGAGCTTTCAACGCCGGATGGATAAATCTTTTTATTTTTGAATTTTGAAGTTATGCCGGGTCGACGGGTTCCGACAGGGTTCCGACAGGGAACCCGTGGCCCCGCCCCGCCGCCGACACCTCCCCGTCACAGGGCATCGCAGCGGCAGCGCGTCGCACTTCGTTTGAAGTTGCCGCCGAAAGCGAAACGGAGCGCGTCACCGCCGCAGTGCGCGATTCGCGATTCGCGGATGGCCCGCGAGGAGAACATGAGGCGCAATGCCGGAGGGAAAGTGTTTGACAGGGCCGCCCTGGGCCGCCCGCTCTCGAGCCTCACTGCAGCATTCCGGCTGCAGCGCGGGTGGAGGGGAGGGGAGGGGGAGGGGAGGGAGGGGGAGGGGAGGGGAGCTGGGCCGACTCCAGTCCGCATCCCCGGGCCCCGGGCCGGGCGGGGGGACTTTGCCGGGGGGACCCTGGCGCCGCCGGTCTGGCCTGGTTCCCGCCCCACCGCCCCGCCGCCCCGCCGCCCCGCCGCCCCGCCGCCCCCGCCGCCGCGCCCGCACTCCGCCCAAACAAGGACGCGCGGGACGAGCGGGTCCGTCCCTCCACCCATTAGACCTAGAGGGCGTAGTGGCGGCGGCGTGGTGGCGTAGTGGGCCCCAAAGGATTGGCCAGGGCCGGGACGGCCGGGACCCAGGTTCAACGCCTCCCAGGGCCCAAGTCCCGTCGGCCTGTCTCTGTCGCACCGACGCGAGCATGGATGTGACCGCGAACCGTGGACACGCCACAGCTCTGTCTCTCTCGCACTCCCGGCGAAACGGCCCACGGGAGCGAGAGAGACAGAGCGACGACAGGGCTCTTCGGAATGTGACTTCTGTGCCCTATTCGCCCATAAGCCAAGAGCGCGGCGCGCGGCTCTTGGGGGCAGTAGCAGGAGAGCCAAGCGTCGTGCCGGAGGAAGGCCAGAAGGGCGAGGGTGTGGGCCATTCAGAGCCGGGGCTGCAGCCTCGCTTTTATTTTTAAGGCCGCTAGGAGGCCCTCGCGGCATGCATAATTTCCACCGCGCCAAGTCAAGGTAATTGAACACCTGGCTGGACGGGACGCGGAGGCCGTCGCGCCACCAGAGAAGGGCACCAGCTCTTTTTCGGTCTGATCCCAACCGTATGACAGGCATGTCAGCAGCGCTCCGAACTCCTCGGATCCATGCCGATTGAAAAACGTAGGGAGTTGAAATGGGAATGCGAGGTCACACTAAAAGGTTTCTCGGTCCCCTGCTGACGTCGAAAAGGATAGACACAATTCGATGAGTGGCACGAGAGTGTCGGTTCCATGTTTCATTAGCAATGCCTCGCGCGACAGTGTTACGATACCTCGGCGTCGAAGGGTAAGGGTAAGGGCTAGCCTCCGTTTGGCCTCGTCGGAAGGGAAGTTGCTGCCGGAGAGTCTAGTCCCAGGCCGTCCGCCGGACGACCGCCGGAGCAGTAGGCGCGTTTTGGCTTCGTGGTTTCACTGAGTCCGTCCTGATTGCTTTCCGTCCAAACAGAATATAATCATAAATCGTGAGGCCGCCAACTGGTGAGGCCCTCCCCCACCGCACCCCACCGCACCCCACCGCGCCCCCACCGCACCCCCTGGCCCCGCACGGAGGGCAAGGGTGTGATGGTTATCTCCAGACAGAGTGTAATTTACGATATGTCGAAAGCCATGGGGGTGGCCGAGGGGGAGGGGGTGAGCCCAACCCCATAGCGCGGTAACGCGGCGGCGCGGCACAGGTACAGCGTAAAACGGGCGTCGAGGCCGGGCTACACCAAGGCTACACGCGCTACGCCCACTCCCCACCAGAGGCCCACTGCCACTCCCCACGCCGCTGCGCCGCGTGGTGTCGAGTGAGTATTACACGGTGTGCTGTGCGGCGGTGCTGTCGGCCATCAGAATGAATCACCCGGCCGGGGGAGGAGGAGCAGATACTGGAATACTCTCCCGCAGACAGGGGAGAAAAATATTTCCATTTCACACGGGCAACAACGTCATAGCTTGGGAGAGAACTCGGTTAACAAACCCCTCACGTGTCAGAGGGTGTGGAGGAGGATTGTATTGTGTTTCAACCATTGGTCCACGGCAGCGAAGCCAGTGACCAGTAGGAAGCAGTGTTGCGTGGTGACAGTGCGACATGGATAGCCACGGACAGTCCGCGCATCGAGAAGGCTTCGGGGCACGCAGCACGCCATCCAGTGCCAGGCCGTGATAGCAGTCGGGGGCGGGGTGTTGCAGGCAGGCGCGACGGTAGCAAGCTGACGCCTGGACGCGCCGCGAACCGAGAAACTCACCCGGCTCCGCGAAGGCGATGATCTCGGACGCGCGGCCGTAGAAGTCGTCCGGCTCCTGGCCGTGCTCGTGGTGGTCGTGCTGGTCGTGGTGGTGGCCGCGCTTGGTGGTCGTGCCGAGGTGGTGGTGGTGGTGGTGGTTGTCCTTGGGCGTGGCCATCATCTCCTCCACCAGGCCCTCCGCCACCTTGCGCGGCACGGCGTGCGTCACGTTGGGCTTCCCCTTGAGGCCCAGCTTGAACAGGATCTTGTACTTGATGGCTTCGAGGCGCAACGAGTCGCTCGTCATGTTGCGCTGCTGCTGTTGCTGCTGCTGCTGCTGCTCGCTCAGCTTGAGCTGCGTCTGGTGCTGCAGAATGCAGTTGGGGCAGGCTTGCGCCGAGGCTGCAACACACAGGCAGACAGAGTGCTTCAGAAGGGCCCTCTCCCTCGTCGCGCTACCGTCCGAATCACCTAGGCTGACCTACACACACATATACACAATCACACACAGAGAGATTCAAGCGAGAACAAGACCTTATTACAACCCCTCCACACACGCATATACACGCACAAAGTTTGTTTGGCGAGACTACTTGAGCTGCCAGTATTTTGGTGTTCAAACCGACACTGGGCTGCGCTGCTTTCCCGGACACAACCGTGTAGCTGATTCTCAATCGTTGTTGCACCTCGACCCTTTTCTTGGCGCAATCAATACTCGGACTGCAAAGCAGTTTATTTACACGGCCACACCAAGCACATTACACAATGAGGGGTGGGGTGGGCGGGGTAGGCGGGGTGGGGCGGGGTGGGGCGGTGTGAGGCGGGGTGGGAGGCCTGCAGGGCTTCAGTCTGCACGACACGCCGGCTGACACGAAAGACACCTTTCGTTAGCACCTCGGCGAGCCGGCCGCAGGAGCGCACTATCTCCAGGATGCGCCGGCCCCGCTCCACCCCGCCCCACCCCACCCTCGGCCCACCCCACCCATCCGCCGCAGCCCCGCAGCCCTTCGAAACGCGGCCTGACCTTCCGCAATGGAGCCCTGGTCGAGCGCTGGCCGAGCTGGCCGACCAAGGTAGACTGGAAAGGGGAGGGGGTAGAGCCGCACACGTGGCGCCGCGCGCGCTGACGTCACCGCCGGGGGTGGCGGGGCGGGGCGGAGCGTTTGGCGTGCGCCCTCGCAACCGGGAGCCGGTAGCAAACCAATAGAGTACTGTGGTTGAACGTCAGAAAGAGGTAGTCCTCTGAAAGCTTCATTCACGCCGAAAGCATTGCTGCTTCGCACGGCGTTCGGCTTTCGGCGTTCGGCTTGCGGGCGACGCGTGCGCGTGCCGGCCTGCCGGCGCCGCCCTCGCGTGTGGCGCCTCGCCGGGAGACGCACGCGCGGCCCGCACGCACACGACGCCAGTTCGACCGGGCTGCTTCCGAGCACGGTCGCGCTGTCTCTCTCGCACTGACTCACGGGCGTCCGTCGCCGCGAGGGTGCGAGAGAGACAGCGCGACGAAAGCACGGTTGCGCTGGAACGCGACTTGGGTTGATGCGGCCACTTCCGCACACTTGCATTAGTCAGGACACAGTTTGTTAGGCGCGAGCGCGCGAGCCGGGTTGCCCCTGCCTGGCAGGCGCGCCCGAGTGAACGAACCGACGGATGCCCCAAGTGCGAGGGAGGCAGCGACGAAAGAGAGCCCCGGCGCCCCGTGCGGGCCCTGCACTGCGCCCTGCGTCATCGCGCGACGCATGTCCCTCGCACCTCGGCTGCAGTATGGCTGCCAGTGCAGTGCGGTGCAGTGCGGTGCACCTCCACGACCCCCACCCTCCCCTTGCGCTCGGCTTGCACTGCACGAACCGGCGACACAAGGACGCAAATAAAGGCAGCCGTCCCCTCTGCTCCGCCAAGACGCCAAATCTTTGGCAAAAATTTGGCGAGCCAACGAGCGCGGCACAAGGCACAGCGGAGCGGGGCGGAGCGACGCCGCGGACTGGAGACAGATCACTTCCGTGTCTTTTGCTCTGTTTGCGCTTTGCGGGGCGGGGCGGGGCGGGGCGGGGCGGGGCGGGGCGGGGCGGGGCGGGGCGGGGTGGGGCGGGGCTGGACGGGACGGGACGGGGCGGGAGAGGCGTCGCGACGCTCCGGGTTGGGGGACTTGGAGGAGCGCCCACTTAACATGTGAACCCGTCCTCCGGGGCCGGCACGGGGCGTGGTAGGGTGGGGCGGGGCGGGGCGGCGCGGGGTAGGGGAAGCCGAATTGGCGCGGTGGCCGCGTCGCCGCGTCCGGCAGGGCTCTCTCGCTCTCTTGCAGCAGCGCGCGACATTTCTCTAATCACACCAAATGCAATTTGAAGCAAACCGAGTTATGGCCAAAGTTTTGGCTTGCATGTCCCGCGAGGTGCACCCCTCGCTCTCGCTGGCAAGGCTGCAGGGCTGCAGGGCAGCAGGGCCGCAGCGCAGGGCCGCAGGGCCGCCGAGAAGGGCGCGTTGGCCGTTGGCGCGATCCCAGGTCTCGGTCAATATCCTCAACGCGAGAAAGAGTGCAGCGACGCACTGTGTGTGCACAGCCATGGCTGCGGCTCGTCCTGGTTCCCAATCAGTGAGGGGCGTAGCAGCGTGACCGCGGACATGCCGCGGAGGCGGGACAGTCCACCGCAAAAGCCGACGATGACAGTGGCGTGGCCGCCTCTGGCCCGACGCTCGAAAGGCGTGCTGAAGTGGGTACGGTGCGTCCCCGGCGGGCTTCGTTCCGTTCCGAACAGCGCTTTCGTCGCTCCGTCTCTCTCACACCCACGGGGCGTGCCGTCAGGGCGCGAGAGAGACAGAGTGACGGGAGCGCTGCCCGGATGTCTCTTTGTTTGCGGCGGATTATTTAAGACCATCGCTTTGGGACCCTGGCAGTGCCGTCCCGTGTTCTCCAAACAATTATCCGAGCAAACGCCGCGCGGCCCGATTCCGCACAGCCGCTTCGTCGCTCTGTCTCTTTCGCACTCCCATTGGGATGTGCGAGAGACACTTGGAAAGCGCTAAACGTCGTGCCGGGGGAAACGTTTAATTTCAACTCCATTTTTTTTTCTGTTTTTTTTATTTATTTTTTGGCAAAGGTGGCGGCAGAGAGTAGGGTGCGAAATTTTTATCTGTGCACTGCCTCGGCGGGCCTGCTCCAGAACCTCATTAACACTACATGCACATGCCGGCATAACGAACGACGTGAGTGCCGGCGTGGCGGGGCGGGGCGGGGCGGGGCGGCAGCAGTGCAATACAAGGTGTCAACAGGAGCTGCCTGGCTGGCCGCACAAACAAGGTGGCCGACACTAAGAATGGAGGGTCGGCGCGCGAAAAATGTAAATTCCAGCAGGACGCTCATCGCCGTCGCGGAGAGGCGAAGCGAGGCGAAGCGAGGCGAGGCGCGCAGTGCGCCACGCCCTTCAAGGTGAGGGCCAGCTAAATATTGCAGTGCTCCCCCTCTTGTTGAATCCGGGACAGTGGTGGGGGTCGTCCCGGGTCGGGATGGCAGGGCAGGGCAGCGAGAGGCGAGGACCGAGGGCAAGCAGAAGGTCAGGGCCCCTCCCGGAGGCCGGAGGGAACAGGGAGGGTACAGGGAGGCGGCTGGGAGGCCCAGCGGGGGAAGCGGGGGGAGCGGGGGTGTGGCGCGGGGTCAGGCACGCTCCTGGCCTAGGCCAACGCGCCGGGGCCGCCGGGCCGCGCCAGCGACGGCAGGGCACCTCCGAGGGCACCTCGCCGACCGGGGGCCCCAGGAGGCCCCGCGAGGCCCCGCGGGGGTCACAGGGTAAGAGTCTTGACGCACGCGGCGCGCGGCGGCGCCAGCAGGCTGACTCCGAACAGTCTCTCTCTCGCGCCACCACGGGACGTAACGCCCCACGAGTGCGAGAGACGCGTTTCGGACTCGGCCTGCAGCGTCCTCGAGCGTCACAGCGTCGCCGCCCTGGAGGCCCTGGAGGCTGCCACCCTGCACCGCCAGAGGGGGATCGCCGCCAGGCACGAGGACTGCACTCCACGCGATCAAGCGACAATTTGATTCCATATCTTCGGATTCGCCTCAAGGGAATCCTTTTTATTTAAAAAAAAAAAAGGCTTTGAGAAAATACGTGGAGAAAGCGAATGACCGAACCCGTGGGACACTTCCTGCTTCACCACCAGGCATGGAATCTGAAATGGAGAATCAATAACCCAATTCGATGGCAGTCCTCAACCCCACATCGATAGCTAGCCTAGGCTTCCGTCCGTATAGAAGTTCCTCATCATTGATGCAGGCTCGGTGTTAGCAGGTCCAACGCACGTCAGTGGCGTTCGGGCAGCCACAAAGCAGGCCCTGTCTCTCTCGCACCCCTGCGGCGTCCCGTAGCAGGCGTTCGTCGCTCTGCCTCTCTCGCACTCCTGCGGAACGCGGAACGTCCCTTCGGGTGCGAGAGAGACAGAGTGACGAAACGACTCTTTGGAACCACTCGGCAGGTTAATGCTGCCCCACGCGGTCGCGGCGTCGCGGCAGTGGCGGCGACCGACGAGCCTCAAATCAGCTGACAGGTGGATGCACTGCCGGGGCTCGGGGTGGCGGCACCGGGTGTAGGAGAAGGGGGAAGTGGAGGGGGAAGGAGCGCCCGATAAGGCGTTTTGTCATCAAGAAATCATCCCTTCCATCGATCGGGAGGCCATCCTCTTGTGCCACGTCTTTGGTCGACCTGGTTGTCGCGCGAGGGGGCAGGGGAAGGGGCAGTGAGGGGCAAGCGGCGAGCAGGTAGCGCTCGGGGCGCGCGCCGGATGCGCTAAGCGCGCCTGATCCACTGATCCCCGGCGGGCCGCGTGCCACGGGGCGCCGCCGTTTCAAATGCCGGTGACAGCTCCGGCCCCTCCGGCCCCTCCGCGGGGCGCAATGAGTCGGCCGCTGCCGAGCGCACTGCACTGCCATGGCGCGGACCGCGAGCGGCACGAGTGGCACCCTCCTACACTGTTTTCAGTTGCCACGGCAACCAGGCAACGGGGAGGGGGAGAAGGGGGGCGATATCAATTTGCCGAAACAACATGCCTGACCACACTGTGAAAAGCGCATTTAGGGAGTGCTCCGTTAGGCCAACAGGACTTGAAGGAAAACGGCGCGTCAGGAAGAGGTAGGAAGTGGTTCACCCAGTTGAAGGAAATGGCGGACAAGCTGGGCTTACAATGTACCACTCGCTCAAGTTGGCCCCGGGTCCACGGGGCCCACACGGGGGCCGGCCATGAGGCTCGATGGGTCCCTGCAGTGTGCTCCACGCAGTGCAGCCAACGGCAGCCAACGACAGCGCGACGCGGGGAGCCTTTCAATGGGAGCGTCTTACACAAATACCCCATTGATTACTCCCTATCGATTTAAAAGAACACGCCAGCGGCCAGCGCCTCGAGGGGCGGGGCGGGGCGGGGCGGGGCGGGGCGGGGCGGGGCGGGGCGGGGCGGGGCCTCGCTGCAAGCCTGCCTGACCCACTCCACACCTGCAGCATGCCTGCAGCCATTGCCGGCAGCGCAGCGATTTCCAGGAGCCCACGAGGTCCTTGGCGCGCCACGTTTGCCTCAGTGAAGCCAAAGTGTCCTCGTCCGCCCTCGAAGGACTCGGAAGGACTCCGGGGGAAGAAGCCGTGTTTTAAGTTCGATTGATTTTGATTTGAAAGCAGAGCAGTCTACGTGTGCTGCGCTGAGGTCCACTTGTATCATGAACTTTGGACCTAGGATCGCGTGTGGGTCACTGAGAAAAGGGTTAAGTCGATTCGACTAAAACTATTAGTGCCCAGTCGTTTTTACTAAGAACTCAAAGGGTGCTCTCTTAGTCAAGTTGATATTACTCATCCAAATTTTAGCCGATTCTACTTTGTTTTTGAAGCGGTGGCGTTTGTCGAAGTGGAGCGCGAAAAGCGGGAAAGCGGTGGAAAGTGGCGCAGATTGCGCCTGAAGGGGAAAAGGCCGCCGACCGCAGTCTACCCTGCACCAGTTTGCCGACTGCGGCCTGCCAGCACCTTCCACACGTGTGCACGCGAACGTTTGAGGAGGCACGCGTGACGGTATCACCTCGCATTCCGTGACACGGCGCGAATCTCTGGACTCAGAGGCAGTCCCGGACCACAGCCGGGGCACGCCACGCGGGACTGCCTACCGAGCACGGCGCTCCGCAGCATTTTGATTTTTAACGTGCAAAATTATTTTATGTGTCAATTTGCGTACGATTTTGTACGAATTCCTCGTGCGTTTGATCTAGGCTCTCGTACAAAACTCGTGTAAATACGTTTAGGGCGTCGCGCGGCCTTGAGCCGAGGCCCCGTCGGAGCCCTTCGGGACCGCTTCGGTCGCCAGGAGGTGACGAGGCTTCGGCTAGGCTTCGGCAGACGCTTGGCCGCCAGACAATGGTAGCCGTCTCAATGGAGAGGAAAGAAACCCGCGGACGAATAGAGAAACAAGGAACGAGGGTGGGCGGCTCTGTAAGCTTTGATGGGTAGGCCTAGGGCTGAAGGGCTAGGAGGAGCCAAGGAGGAAAACCAAGGGCGCGCGTTTGCTCGGCGGGGGCGGCTGAGCGGGGGCGGCTGAGCGGGGGCGGCTGAGCGGGGGCGGCTGAGCGGGGGCGGCTGAGCGGGGGCGGCTGAGCGGGGGCGGCTGAGCGGGGGCGGCTGAGCGGGGGCGGCTGAGCGGGGGCGGCTGAGCGGGGGCGGCTGAGCGGGGGCGGCTGAGAGGGGGCGGCTGAGCGGGGGCGGTTGTCCGGACCGCAACGTTTGGTTTGAGTGGGCGATGGCCTCCCCTCCGGTGAGCGCAGCTCGGCGCAGCTGATGCGGCTGCAGCGAGGCTGCAGAGGGCGGGGAGGCAAAGGGGCGGGTGGCTCATGGTGGGCGACACCGGGCTGTGAGTGGCTAAGGGCTAGGTTATGACGCTCTGCAGCGCTCTGGAGGCTACAAAGCACGCTATCAGCCGCCGCGTGGCCCGTCGCAAGCAGCATACGCACCAACACTCTATAACAAGTGCGCAACCAAAAAACTGCACTTGGAAAAAAATGTCCGCTTGTCCCGCGAGTTCAAAGCGAAGATAGCATCTACTGGACAATGCAGCAGCACACGGAAAAAGGTACAAACAAATACAAAAGTAGCAAAAAAAAATGTGCATTTCGCACTCTGGGACTCCGGTCCTAGCTATCTTTATTGGAACGTGTACACCGCGTGCCGGTATACATACATAACCCCTCTCCCTCCCCCTTTCCAAATCGCACACAGATACATCGGCACCAACCTTGTGTGCGCGCGCGTGTGTGTGTGTGTGTCCATGCAAGCTGCCGTCCACTCTCACCCCTCCTGCACAACGACGGACTTGTTCGTGTTGAACGCGTCGAAGGAGGGGACGAGGCCAACGAGGCTACCCGAGGCTACCCCGAACTCTCGCTTCGCCAGCGTGGCCAGCTGCGCCGCGCGTTCAGTCCACCGGGCAGCCAGCAGCGGCAATGCCGCGAAGCCGCGAAGGCACGAAACGACGCCAAAACGCCGCAGAGTCACAGTCGCGCTCCCCGCGGCTGCAGCCTGCAACGCAGAGCCGCACTTTGGCGGATGTTTTGCCCTTTCCATAGTTTCGCTCCACATGCCCCGACGCCATGCGCAATGCCAGCGCGGGCGGCCCCGGCAGGCTCACTCAGGACCACGCTCTTCATCACCGTGTCTCTCTCGCACTCGCGGGCCGGAGAGACAGACAGGCCCGGGCCTCCGAGAAACGCGCTGTCGCATTGCGAGCAATTGCGGCGCGCGCACAGACAGGCTGTGGCAGACTTGCTATACTTTTCCTAAAAAAAATTGTTCAAATGAGGGGAAGCGACCGTTGTTTCGCGGGCGGTCGTAAGGAAAAATTCAATCGGCACTGGGATATCAGCGGCGCAAATCAGCGTTGATTCTGAGCCACGGCAAATCGCGAATCGCGAATCGCGGAACGAAAGGCAAGCTATAATTGGCCTGTGTCAGTCACCCTGCGATTCCATGCGGCCCGCGGGCCCGCCACGCTCGGCTGCGCTGCGCCGCGCCGAGCCTGCAGGACAGTGCGACGTCCACCTGTCTCTCTCGCACCCCCACTGGGCGCCCCGTGGGTGCGACAGGGACAGAGCGACGAAGGCTCTGTTCGGAATCAGGCTGCGAGCGTCACTATCGACCCCCCGGCCCGTGTCTCGTCCCCGTGTCCGGCACCGTGTCCGCCACCGTGTCACGACGGGGTGCCGGCCCTGCAGTCAAGTGCATCATCACCGGCCGACGACCATTCCAGTGGTCGAGTCCTTTTCGTCGCTCTGTCTCTCTCGCACCTATATGGGACGCCCTCTGGGTGCGAGAGAGACAGAGCGACTAAAAGCACTCTCGGAATGATGAGTCTGCAGGGCGAGCCTCGCGTTGCATTCCATTGCAATATCCAGCCAGTTAGCTCAAGCGGGGTCCTTCCCTCTTTCTCTTTCTCTTTCCCGGCCCTAGTCCTCAGGCCTCGTACTTTCCAAACTGTCGGGCCGCTGCCCGCAGAGCTCCGCGCTCACGCTCCGCAGCGTCCCTTCTCAAAGTGGCGCTCTAATGCATCCACGCCCAGCGCTACTCAGCTCCTCCTATTAGCATATTACCGGCCAACTAATTTAATGGTCCGGGGTGATGCGATGGGACACCGCAGACGAGGCGGGGCGGGGCGGGGCGGGGCGGGGCGGGGCGGGGCGGGGCGGGGCGGGGCGGGGCACGCTGCAGCCGGTGGTGTACGTGCAGCCAGCCAGGGCCGGCCAGGGCCGGCTCGACCTTTTCCATCGCTCTACTCCCATTACACGACAAGTCGTTCAAACCGGCGCGGCGCCATGTAAAGGTCCAGTGCATGGAGCACGCCCCAGCCTTCGCCGCCGCCTGCCCCGCCCCGCCACGCCCCGCCACGCCACGCCGCATCGTCATCAGGCTCAATTATTGAATGCCCCGCGCCACGCCGCGCCGCCAGTGGAACACAGTAGGCCTGGGCCGCCACGCCGCCACGCGCTGCGTCCAGTTACTTGCCTAATTAGCGGCCTTATGGCCCTCCGCGCGCCCCCCGCCCCGCCCCGCCGGCATGCCGCCATCGCCCGGCACGGCCCGGCACGGCCCGGCACGCAGAACGCAGCTCGGTCCATGAGGCTGGCGCGGCACCGCGGCACCGCGTATACTGTGTAGTTCCGTACTCCGAACTGCGTGCACTGCGTGCACTGCGTACTCACCTTCGTCCTCCTGCCAGTGCGCGCGGGTGGCCCGCGACGGCGCCTCCACCTGGGGTCCGCCTTGGGCCGAGTGTCCGTGGGTCCGGCGGTGGTGGCGCTTGTGGTTGCGGTGGTGGTTGACGGTCGCCGGCGCGGACAAGGCCATGGGGGCCGCCATCGGGGCGGGGACCTGGGAGGGAGGCTGCGCCGAGGCCAGGGCGGCCAGGGCGGCCAGGGACGCCGCCGTCAACAGGAGTAGCAGCAAGCTGGGGACTGGGCGCACCGCTCTGGGCCCGAGGGGGTGCGGCTGCCCTTGCTGCCCTTGTGGCTGCAACTGCGGCCCCCTACTGTAACCTCTGCGCCAGTGAGGTCCATGCCACATTGTTTACCCAGAGAAGCAGAGGATGACGAGGTTCATCTTGAGCAGTGACGAGAGGAGCCGAGGCCGGCCCGAGCCCAGGCGAGTCAGACGGCCGCGGACAAGGCCCAGGATGACCAGGATGGCGGTGCCAAGCAGGCTCTCCGGTGCGGCCGGGCCACGGCGCACCCTGGCGTCGTTGGAGTGCTGGAGGACGTCGTCGTCGCGTTGCTCGCCGATGTGCAGATGCGACGGATGCACTGCGGCCGCGCGCCGAGCCGCGCGCCGAGGGGTAAGGCTAGCAGGGCCTGGGCCGGCAGGAGCAGCCGGTGGAGAACCATCTCGCCCGCCAACACCACATGCACGCCGCCAAGCAGGCCGTCAAGCAGGCCGTCAAGCAGGCCGACAGGCACTCCACGGGAGGGGGGCCCCGCGCGGGGGCCCCAGCGGCAGAGAGGTCTGCACAGTCCGGACCGCGGCGTCCGGCAGCTGGGGACGTCCCCTGAAGCCGTGGTCACTGAAGGCGGTCGCACGCTGAAGCCGGGCCGGCTCAGGCCGGTGTTGGCCGCCCCCACGTGGTGCTCGACGACCTCGACGTCCTCGACGTCCTCGACGTGCGGCGCGGCACCCCCGGCACCCCTCACGGCACTGCACTACTGCACTGGATGGGCGCTGCAGCGCGCTGCACGAGGCGTCGGCGTCGGCGTGTGTGCCAGTGTGCCTGTCTGACGCGCGGCGATGCTCCCCGCGATGCTCCCCGCGATGCTCCGCGTAAGGCTGTAGCTGTCTCACTGGACTGGGCACGACCAGGCCCGACGCGCCGCACCGCCAGTACCGCCAGCCAGGCCAGCACACCAGCACCGCCACAGCACCGCCACAGCACCGCCACAGCACCGCCACGCCAGCGCGTCGCAGCGGCAGTGGCGGCGGTGGCGGCCAGCAGCGCCAGCAAGCGCCAGCAGTGGGACGGAGCCTCTCTCTCTCTCTCTCTCTCTCTCTCTCTCTCTCTCGCTCTCTCTCTCTCTCTCTCTCTCCGCCGCGCCCCGCCTCAGCGCCGCCCCGCCTGCCCCGCCTCGCCCCGCCGCCCCCACACTGTGATGCCGGCGCACCCGCTCCACCCTCTCCCTGTCTCTATCCCACTCTCCCCTGGCCCCTCTTTTCCCCACGCAGGCTCGCACGCGAACGCGCGAACCTAGGAGGACCGAGCGGCCGAAATCAGAGGAGTGACCAAGACCCCAGAACCCCGAGCTACGCGAGGAATGGCGGCGGACTGGCGGCGGTGTACCGCGGTGCGAGCGAGAGCCACCAATCGAACAAGAGAGAACGAGTAGTCAAACAGAAACGACAGCATTAACAACAAACGGCGATTGCATGTGCGTCTGCGTCATGGACCTACAAGTGCGCTTGATTCATGTTACGAGTTCCAGCGCGCTGGCCAGCAGCTCCATTCCGAGCAGTCTCTCTCGCACTCACGGGGCATCGCGTAGGGGCGCGAGAGAGACAGGGCGTTGAGGGCAGTGTTCGGGATCGAGCGGCAGCGGGAGGCAGCGGGCGGCAGCGGGCGGCAGCGGGTCGGCTCGGTGCAGCTGCGTGGCGCCACGAAGGCTAAGGTGTCGTGCCAGCCCCTTTCTCCAGCGTGCACCGACGCAGTGTTGACGTCACTGTTGGTCTGGAAGGAAGAGGAAAGCACCAATAAATACTTTCAACGGATTTGTCCTGCCGCGTCCGAGAACTGGCCCTGTCGGCAGGTGCAAGATTTGACTGGTTTTCGGGGACTTAAATGGGACGCCTTCATTATTCCCGACTTGGCCACGGTGTGGGACTTGTCTTCGGGGGGCCTGGCCTGCCGTCTGCTGACGTCAGCATCCTCGCCGGGCGACCGGAGACCGGAGGCCACCGTCGTCGCGTCGTCGGCGTGCTGGAAGTCGCGTGCGGCGGGCCGCGGGGGGCAGACCGGGCAGACTCCACCTCGCTCCGCAGGCTCCGCAGCTTCGACTTGTTCGCGCCCCCTCCCCTCCCCTCCCCTCCCCTCGCCTCGCCTTTCCCCGCCGCTCGCCGAAGGCTGAGTTCACGGCGGTGTCTGGCGGCTGTCGCCGACTGCTCAAAACTTGTTCTTTGTCAACTAGACCGCGCCTTGCCGCCGTGTGGCCGTCGTGCCCACAAGACTTTGCGAGCCACCTCGAACGCCTCGGATGCCCGTTGCACGCTGCACCGGCTGCACCGGTGTGCTGGGCGAAAGCGCGAAAGCCTGGGCAAAAGCCTCGGCAAGCGCCCTGGTCCGACAGGCGAAAAATCGAGTTCCCCTGTTGGATCGCCCCCGCGCGAGACACGCGACGTTCTTTGAATACGTGTCAGCAAAGTGCACTCGATGAGTTGACGCGCCGAGGTTCAAGAGGTGCATCTCTGAGGAACGCTGCTGGAGGAGGAAAGCATCTCCCCGAAAATGGCATCCCCACGTCGCGGGCGCGACGCTATAAATCTGCTCGTGCTGTCACTGACTGTCCGCGGAGAATATCAGAATAACAGCGGCGACCGGATAATTTGCGGCCGACCTGTGGGCTGATCCAGAACACAGCGTTGGTCGCTGCCTCTCTCGCACCCGCGCACTTTGACCCAGGAGTGCGAGAGAGACGGCGAGCGACGTGCGGAATCAGCCGGCTGGTCGACCACAGCGTCGCTCAGTTCATCGCCCGGCACCAGCCGCCAGTGGAGGGGTTGTTTTCAGAGATTTTACTGTCACGCGCTGGCGGGTCTGCCGGCCAGGCAAGCCAACGGCAAGCCACCGGCAAGCCGCGCAATAAACGCGTCCATATGAAAGTAGACAAAAAGTGGGACAAAGAGAAAATTGGGCGCGCCCCACGCCGCCGCCGCGCTGCCGCGGGATTCGGATTCGGATTCGGTTCACTGGGCCGCTTCGTCTGGACGTCTGCCGCCGCCGGCCTCCAAAAAGCCAACAAGCCAAGCCAACACGAACAGGGCAACACGACCGGCAGCGACCGGGCCGGCAGCCACCAGCGGGCCGCCAATATTATTATCATGAAGCAGCGGTGCAGCCGCCCGGCTTTTCATAACCCCAGCCCCAGCGTCACCGCGGCGCGACACGGCGCGACGCCCACGCAGCAATATGTGTCCCTGCAGGCCTGCAGGCCCATTCCGAACGACCAGTCCGTCTCTCTCGCACCCACTCGCACCCACGGGCAGCAACGTGAGGGTGCGAGAGAGACGGAGACTGAGCCCGCAGCCCTTCGCCGGGCCCTTAGGCTGGGTGCGGAGTGTTAATTGTCCTTGGTCATCAGACAGTTTGGCCAACCATGGCGCGCCATGGCGACACGGAGCGGCGCAGCAGTGTCGCCAAGGGGAAATAACTGCAGCCAAATTTGTACACCAAAATTCATCAAACATGTAAAATTCACTAAAATTCATCAAAATTTGACTGAAATTCATCGAAATTCGACTGATATTCATTGGATTTGCGCACCTAAATTCACAGTGATTTCCCCTTGAGTGTCGCCTGGAGAGACCGAGAGAGACCGAGAGAGACGGTTCCACGGCGTCTCGCTTCGAGCGGCCTGCGGCTAGTGGCTTGGCAGAAGGGAGAGCCGCTTCAGCCCGATCTGCATTATTGATCAGCTATTCCAGAGGCTGCCGGAGGCCGCCAACGGTTTCCGAAATCTCAGAGCGCCAAACCCCTCAAAACTGAAATGTGTTGGCGCCGCCGCGAGGAGGCTTCAAAGTCCAGTAGTCCAGTGGCAGGGTTGTCCACTTGGTAGTCCCATGGGCCCGTTGGGCCCGTGCCTGTGAGTGGCGCATTGAGTGGCCCACGGCCTGGCGGCCTGGCCAGTCTGCTGGACCACACAATAGAGTCGGCAGCCGAGCAGCGGGGCAGCGGGGCAGCGGCGGACAAGGAGAAGAAAGCCGTTCGGTTCGGAGTATTCGCCTTTTGTCACTTTGTTTACACTCAAGACTGCTTCTTTTCTGACCACACTTAGCGAGCACAGTGGGGTGATGTCCCTCGTGCCGCGCCGCGCTCGGTTAAAAAATAATAATTTTCTAAAAAGATGAAGGAGAGGATGAAGAAGGAGGAGAGAGGGAGAGACGGAGAAGGCACTCGTGTCGACGTCTCAAAAAATGGCCTTTCACCCGGCACCCCTCCGGCCTGGAGCCCCCCTCCCCTCTCCCCCGCGGCATCACTTATTTACGAAAGACCGCACGGACCCGTATGGGGACGCGGCGGGACGCGACGGAACGCGGCGCGACGCGGCCGTGGCGTTGCGGACAACACAGCAGCATCATGCCTTGTAACAAATGGATCCAATCTTCTTTCCCCAGGGACGTACGCGCGGCCTGCACCCCCGCGGCACGCCTTGGGGCGCGGGGCCTGGCGGGGCCTGGCGGGGGCTGGCGGGGGCTGGCGGGGGCTGGCGGGGCCTGGCGGGGCCTGGCGGGGGCTGGCGGGGGCTGGCGGGGGCTGGCGGGGCCTGGCGGGGGCTGGCGGGGGCTGGCGGGGCCTGGCGGGGGCTGGCGGGGCCTGGCGGGGCCTGGCGGGGGCTGGCGGGGCCTGGCGGGGCCTGGCGGGGCCTGGCGGGGCCTGGCGGGGGCTGGCGGGGCCTGGCGGGGCCTGGCGGGGCCTGGCGGGGCCTGGCGGGGCCTGGCGGGGCCTGGCGGGGCCTGGCGGGGCCTGGCGGGGCCTGGCGGGGGCTGGCGGGGCCTGGCGGGGCCTGGCGGGGGCTGGCGGGGCCTGGCGGGGCCTGGCGGGGCCTGGCGGGGCCTGGCGGGGCCTGGCGGGGCCTGGCGGGGCCTGGCGGGGCCTGGCGGGGGCTGGCGGGGCCTGGCGGGGCCTGGCGGGGCCTGGCGGGGCCTGGCGGGGCCTGGCGGGGCCTGGCGGGGCCTGGCGGGGGCTGGCGGGGCCTGGCGGGGCCTGGCGGGGGCTGGCGGGGCCTCATGGACCACAGGGCCCCCGCCCGTCCATGAATTATTAGCCAATGCCAATGTTGAGCTAATTATGAGCAGGGCTCTGCCCTTGGTGCGGATGCCCTTGGCAGCCCTCGCTGCCCTTGCCGCTCTCGGCGAAAGACCTACCCTACCCCGCTCCCGGTGGACCCCGCTGCCCGGGCCCCGGCCTGGCCGCCTGGCCCCCAATCCGGCCGGAGGTCACTCCTTCGCCGGGCCATGGCCGGCGAGAGACAGACCAGACCCGTGCACGGTCCGCCGCCTGGTGCGTCTGGCACCACGCGACCCTTTCACGCTCCCTGTGACGCTACCGTGACGAGGCCCTCGGTGGCGCGGCGAGAGGCTGTGCCGCCCTGTGACGCGCCGACGCGTGGCTGTGCCAGGCTGTGCGCACGGGGCCCACGCCACGCCATGCCACGCCGTGCCACGGTACAACATTTACATAATGCATGGCAACCAGCCCCGCAGCCCCTCGCCCCGCTTGCAGGGCCAGCAGAGCCTGCAGCCCCGACCTGTCCTTTCACTCCCTTTCCTGGGACCCTGCGGCCCTGCAGGCTGATTCCGAGCAGTGCTGCGTCGCCCTGTCTCTGCCGCACGCACGCGCCGCTACGTTAGACCCCGCGAGACAGAGCGACGAAGCGTTGTTAGGGTTGGGGATGCAGCCCTTCCACTGTTGGCCTCGGCGTCCTGACGGCGTCCTGAGGACGTTCAAAGGTCAGTCCGAATATTTCAGCAGTCCCTGAGCCAAAGCCTCGCGGCCCGCACTCAAGCTGTGACTTTTGGATTCTGGAGCGCAGAGCAGCTTCAGTCTGTTTCAGAGTGGTTCAGAGTGTTTGAAAAGCTTCGTTTTGAGTGTATCCTTCACATTCCCTTCCCTTTCACGGAACAACAATTGAGAAAGCGTGTAGAGGGGACTCTGGCCGGTACCGGCGAGTCCGCCCGCACTGGACGTGCTAGCCGTGCTGTCTCTGCGGGCGCGGGGTAGCGCCGCAGCCCGGACCCGGCCCGGCACGGAGTAGCGACGACGCGACGCGCGTGTAAACACGTCCCGGACCCCGCTCATGGTATTTATCGCTGTTTAACTCCCTGCTGCTGACCCGGTGTTCCAATCGTTGTTACAGGCCGGTGAGATCAGCATCGTTATTTCACCAGCACACGACTATATGTCCTTTACTTCGCAGCCAACTTTGTGTGTAGAAAGGCAATGTTGTTGTTCAACATAACCTCACCTCGGAAAGTGTTTGTCACTGCCGAAGTCTTATCTTGTCCGCCTTTAGCCACCTGCGCCGATTTTAAAGTAAAGAAAGTAAGAATGGTAAACGATTCCATGTAACCGCACTTTATTTAAAGTCCAACTCGAACGAATTGTCATTGTTTAATACCTTGACTTTTAATTAATGGAAAGTTACAACCTTATCAGTATTCCGTAGTATTCCGGTGTGACGATGGGTCAAAGATCTTCGCTACTTCGCACAAAGCCCCCCCCCCTCTCCGCCCTCCCTTCCCGATTCAAGAACCAACCTTTGATTCCCCCTCCCCCTCCCCCTCCCCTTACCTTCTTTGCTGCAAGTTGGGACTCTGTTGCAGTGTGCCGCTACCCTTCCTGAGTGGATGGAGCACTCCTCTGGAACGCCATGGCGCTGAGAGGCATTCGCGTGCTGGAGGTGGCGGGGCTGGCTCCCGCACCGTTCTGCGGCATGCTGCTGGCCGATTTCGGGGCTTCAGTCACCAAAGTAGACAGCGTGAGTAGAGAGTGAAGGGATTCGTGAATTCTTGAAGCGTCGGCAAGTTGGCCAGTCTGGCAAGTTTGGTGCCAGGGAAACTGCAGGGACTGCAGCATTGAGCGCCCGACGGGCCCGGGATAGGCAGCCCGGTGGACTCGGCTGTACGCTGGTTGCCTACCGCCTTGGCGCCCGACGGGCCCGGGATAGGCAGCCCGGTGGACTCGGCTGTACGCTGGTTGCCTACCGCCTTGGCGCCCGACGGGCCCGGGATAGGCAGCCCGGTGGACTCGGCTGTACGCTGGGGCGCCCGACGGGCCCGGGATAGGCAGCCCGGTGGACTCGGCTGTACGCTGGTTGCCTACCGCCTTGGCGCCCGACGGGCCCGGGATAGGCAGCCCGGTGGACTCGGCTGTACGCTGGGGCGCCCGACGGGCCCGGGATAGGCAGCCCGGTGGACTCGGCTGCACGCTGCTTGCCTACCGCCTTGGCGCCCGACGGGTCCGGGATAGGCAGCCCGGTGGACTCGGCTGCACGCTGGTTGCCTACCGCCTTGGCGCCCGACGGGCCCGGGATAGGCAGCCCGGTGGACTCGGCTGCACGCTGCTTGCCTTGGCGCCCGACGGCCCCGGGATAGGCAGCCCGGTGGACTCGGCTGCACGCTGCTTGCCAAGCTTGCCTACCACCCAGGCGGTGGACGCTCACTGTTTTCGGTAACTCGCTGCAGGTGACGGCGCCCAACATGGAGTGCCTCGGCGAGGGCAAGGAGTCCATCCAGCTCAACTTGAAGCACGAGAAGGGCAAGGAGGTGTTCCGCAAGCTGTGCTGCAGCAGCGACGTGCTCATCGAGCCCTTCAGAGCAGGTACTTTCCTTTCTTGTCGTTTCTTGATGTCTGAGACATCCACTAGTTGCGTTTAATTGTTGTTGAAGGGACGATGGAGCGGCTAGGGTTGGGACCCGACTCCATCCTGGCGCTGAACCCCCGTCTGGTCTACGCTCGCCTTACCGGCTTCGGCCAGTCCGGGTCCTGGGCCAAGCAGGCGGGCCACGACATCAACTACGTCGCCCTCTCAGGTTCGAACTAATGAGTGTGAGAGAGGCAGCGAAACACTGTTCGGAATCAGCCTGCAGGCAGAGTCGCGAGCAAGAGATGACTCCGGCCGTACGGTGGAAATAGAGGGCAAATATTATTTGTCTTAAAACTTTGCGCGTGCAATAATTTATGGGTGGTCCACGGCGGGGCACGCCAGGCCGGCCCCTGCAGGACCTGGCGGCGCGCCAAGAGCGCCAAGAGCACTTGGCTCTTTCTGTTTGCTTCACTACCCCAGAACATCTCCAGTGAATCCATCGCCTCCCCTCCGGCATGCCTCCGGCCTCCGGGAGAGGAGAGGCAAGAGGGATGTCGCATGTCGCACGCGGTCCGGTCCGGTCCGGTCCAACCGGGGTCCAACCCAACCCCCTCCTCGCGCCGCACCATGGCCGCACAGCGCCGCACAGAGCAGCGCAGCGACTACATTCCCATAAACAAACAAGGTTTTTGTGGCGATCGGTTTTGTACACCCTCTGCAGGCTGATTCCGAACAGTACTCTGTCGCTCTGTCTCTGTCGCATCCCTGCGCAACGCCCCACGAGTGCAAGAGAGACAGAGCAAAGAAAGCGCTCGCGGACTAGGGGCGTCATCTCGACCATACAGAGTGCATTGCAACCATCATGCCAGGTCTCCGAGGTCTCGGTGACCGGGGTGCCGGGAAGGGACCACACGTACTGACACGCTGTGACGTCAGCCTGTCGCCTCATCCCGAAGGATCGTTTCGTCGCTCTGTCTCTCTCGCACTCAAGGAGCGTCCCGAAGGGTTGTGGGAGAGACGGACTGCCACTGCTTCGGCTTGGCTTGCTTGGCTTGCAGGCGTGCTGTCGCAGCTGGGCCGCGCGGAGGGCCCGCCCACGCCGCCGCTCAACCTGCTGGCGGACTTCGCGGGGGGCGGCCTGCTGTGCGCGTGGGGCGTGCTGCTGGCGCTGCTGGAGCGCGCGGCGTCGGGGCGCGGCCAGGTCGTGGACGCGGCCATGTCCGAGGGCGTGTCCTACTTGGCCAGCTGGGTGTTCCGCTCGCGCGGCGTGCTGCCGCTCTGGGAGGAGGCCCGCGGCCACAACGCGCTGGACTCTGGCGCGCACTTCTACGACACCTACGAGACTCGCGACGGCCGCCACATGGCGGTGGGTGCCATCGAGCCGCAGTTCTACGCCGAGTTCCTGGACAAGCTGGGCCTGGACGTGCCGCAGTACGGCGACTGGGCCGAGGCCAAGCGCGCGGTGGCGCGCAGGTTCAAGGAACGCTCGCAGGCCGAGTGGTGCGCCGTGTTCGACGGCACGGACGCCTGCGTCACGCCCGTGCTCTCCGCGGAGGAGGCAGCGCGCTACCCCCACAACGTGGCGAGGGCAGCGTTCACGCGCAGGGCCGACGGCGGCGTGGTCCCCCAGCCCGCCCCCAGGCTCAGCCGGACGCCGGGCCGCTCCGGGGTGGCCGCCGGCAAGGGCTACCTCCCCGGCAGGGAGACGAGGCGCATCCTGCGCGAACTGGGCTTCTCCGAAGCCGCCGTGCAGCAGATGCTGGAGGACGGCGTCGTGGCCGAGGCGGAGCAGGCGGACAAGGACGGGGCTGCCACGAAGAGCAAGCTGTAGGCACGATGGCCTCGTGAACTGGAGCAGCAAGCCCCCTCCTTCCCAAACCCACAATTCAGAATACAGTTGACTTTATAACTGAATTTATAAATAAAATGTATTTTTGTACAGCTTTTAAAAATTACTCATTTATTGTTTCGTGATGTTTGAAGAATGCTATCTATATTTTCTTTGAGTATTCTAGGCTTCTTTGTGGAAACCCATGGTAAAATAGGTACATTTGGATCACTTAAAAATAAATCCATAGTGGTGGAAATTTGTTTGAGGTCCCAAACTGCGTGTTGTGTACCAAGCTCCCATCCACCATACAGAGTCACTCTTTCACCTCCTTTTGCTTGCACTATCCGAGGTTCAGCAACACATTTTAATAGCTCATAAAACTCTTCAAAATTCATACCTTAAATTGACAAAACTTCTAGGCATTAATTTTTGATGGTCTTAAATTAAAAAACAAAAAAAGGAATTGTACATCACATTTGTAGAATACCCACCATGAGTAGCTCTAAGCATTACTTGGCAATGTGAATGCCAACCGTCCATGTCAGAACAATCATTTACTTCTTTCTGCACTGCTAGAAGGCAGGAACTCAATGCAATCCAAATTTGCCTTATATTACATCCATTTATCCAATTGTGGTTTATAGATATAGTATCTTCCTGCAAAGAACAAAGTGTCACAAACAAATGATTGGAGGCCATCTACCTTCAGCATACAATACCTACAAGGTTCCAAACTTGATGATGCCATCCAGAGGGCACAAATATAGCTTCTCCTGCTTCTTGAATGATATCATAAAGTTTACCAGGCTTCTTGCAATGAGGATATTTGGTTAAATCATGAATTTCTTCTGAAAAGATGTCATATGCAAGGTTGCCAAACCGATCTTTTAAGTGTGCTTCCTCACCAGGAGGAAATAAAACCCAGCGCTTCCGCCCAACAATGTTGACCGACCAACTGAAGGAAGTGAAAACGTCGGCATGTAGAGGGGTCCTAAAATTCAAATTCAAAAATATATTATAATTATTATTTTTCTTCAAAATTAATGTTGCATCCAAATACTTTGAAAACTATCATACCATGATCCTTTAGGCCCGATGTATACAAATCTATAGTCATCATGAACATCTGTCCTTTGGCAGAAATACTCATTTAACCAATCTGATGCAAAGTAGTTGGGTACTCTATAAACAGCAGCAGCAGGATAGTCTCGGGTAAGATGCCAATCCTATATGGAATTTAAAAATAAAACACAAATCTAATTTGGAAGTGTTTCCCCGCCTTTTAGTGAACTGTTTCACAATTACCTTCAAGTAAAGATTAGGATCAGATGACTGATGCCCATTCTCGATGTGTTGTTCTAGGTAATCTAAATATTTATTCAAAGTAAAGGTAGATTTTTTTTGAGAATTGTACTCTTTTTCGTTACAATTAGCGACGGGAACTTCCGCATCACCTGTGGAAACAATTTATTAGATTTAAATACATATGATCTTTTCTATTTTTCATTAAAAAATTTAAAAAGAATTAAAAAGAAGAAAATTCTTACCAAACTGTTCCCTTAGGGAAGACCAAGAGGGCTTTAGACCTTCTCTCCAAAGTTTCCTGCTTTCCCAATCATTTGAGACAAAGTTACTGATGATGCAAGGACTATTTCTCACAAGGTATTGGCAGAAAAATTCCGCGTATGAAACTTCTTGACATATCCTCGATATACCACAGTCATTCTCAAAGTTTGCACTTGGTTCAATACAAGTGTCACCAATTTCAACCAAATTTACAGCTGGAGCTAAGGGTATCAGATCTCCAGGATGTCCAATTTGAGAGCCTCCAGATCTCTCTAATTCCTTGTCCATCGTTCTAAATAGAATCAGTGTAGCATGTGTTGACGAGATCAGTCGCTGACAATAAAACAACGAGTACGAACAACGAATTGCTTTGACTTCGCGTAGCTTATGCACAGGTTAGGTTGCAGTCACCGCAGTCTCCCAGGTGGCGATCCAACCGAATAGGTTATGTGATCAGACCCACACATGGGAGGTAAAGGATTCCTAACAATCCTGCATCCGGTAGGTCCAGGGTCCAGTAAAGGCCTGTATGGTCCAGTAGACTGCCAGCAAAGACTGCCTTGGCCATGAGACAATATCATATGCTCTGTATAGTATCCTGCCTAGGCTCAGGACTACCTCCTGCCAGTTCTTGCCTCTTGCCGGAACCACCCTACCCACCAGACCTTGAAGCCAGGTCCAAAATACGACATGAGTTAATGGGATGAGATCTCGCCTGACTGGGGGAATGCCCTTACAAAATCTTGAATGGGTAGTGGATGTGCAAATCGATGTTGCTTACGGTTTAGTCAGGTGAGGGGCAGAGTGAAATGAAATGAACAAGTAGCAGGAGAACATATCTTCTCTATTCAAATAAATTTAAACAAACACAATATATTTATAAATAAATACACATTCACGATTAGCAATTTAAGAGAACTTTAACTCTCACTTATGCTCTCATTCACAACAAAAGCTTAAAATGCAGGTAGATTACCAATGAAGTATGTTAACATGTACACATCATTCAACACTAAATTGCTCATCTAAAGGGACGATTTAACTGCACTTCCTAGGAAGAGGAAGGTAAAACATACTTCACTGCTCTCCAGTAGCAAATTTTCCTCCATTTAAAAGGCAGACACTTGCTTCACCTCAATCTGGACTTTCTTACACAAGGACCATAAGCCGATTTTTTTTCTCCTTTTCCAGTCTAGGTAGCCAGAATAATAATTATAGTTTATGTAAAAAGAGTGTAAATTCTCTTACCCATTTTAATTATTGCCTGTCATGAAAAATTGAAGTTTTGTCAATTGGGATGCAGCATTTCCATTGTGCCAGGAACTGTCCATGGCAACAAGGGGCATTCTAAACCAGGTAATGCAATGTGTCTGATAATTTCTGTTCAACTCTGAGACGGCATAGCTGGTGGTTACCAAAAGTGTTATCACTCATTATAACATAGTATACACATCAAAAAAGGTTGTAAATGGACGTGAAGACTGCCAACACAGTCAAGGAGTTCTCAGTTTTAACACTTGAGTACTTGAGTGCAATTACTCTTAACACAGTAAATAATCGTTGGAGCCTATAACTGATCTTTATCAAATAGCCCATAATATTGGACAGAAAGATTACTTTGTAAACACTTCACATTATAGTTATTACAAATACAGGACAGAAAGACATTTTCTTTAGCGCACATTTTTCTGTTAAAGGTACTATTTTCCACTTAATAAATACAAGGAGGATCCACTTTTAGCTCTGCATGTCCCCCAAATTATGTTTCAGTTTAAGAACTGATACAAATGGGAAGCAAACACAGCTAACAAATATTTTATCCCAGATAGGTGACACAAAAATATGATGTGGAAACAAACAACTTGTACTAATATCATAACAGATTTCAACAACCGTGCTCACTTTTCAATCATTCATTTAAAAGAAAAAGAAAAAAGAAGCACTTTTGTTTCATAGTTGACCTTACATGTCGTGGTAACATTAGGAATATAAATTAAGAGGGTTTATGGTGTAGATCCCACATTTTGAAATGGCACATATTAATATAAACAATGAGACATTCAGATAAACAATAATACTGTAGCTTTGAAACTGTACAGGCAAGTACACAATCAATAAATTAAGTCAGACATGAAACAAATAATTTTCTCAGCCATAATAAAAATAAATATCAATGAAAATTCATGTAGGCTACTCTGTGGAAGTCAGCTGGCAACATTAGCAATTTGGAAACAATAGGTGCTACCTCTATACGTGCTCAGTTGACATGCTGTCGAGAGAGGATATTCTGATTTGGGAGTAATTCAAGGTGTCCATCCACTTAATTTTCTACAGCCCTCTTACATCAAAGAAATGCAATTAACAAGCAATACACAGAAAGAGCTCGTAAATGTGTAAGTGGGCTATCATACTGGCATTCCTTTTTTATCCTAAGAAGATGATTCATTCTACACCAACAAAAATTTCAAATATTGATAAATATGTTGAATATGATTGGCTGTAAAATAGCACCTAATTATTTTTATTTTTTTTAAATTTTAACTTTTATTTGAAAGAGTAAGGAATTCATTCAGAAAGGACATCCTAGATCTAAAAAAATCAAGATTGGAGTTATATGTTAAAATGTTCAGGCATTGAGGCTTGAAGGTTTCATGTTGGACTTGAAGAAATGAGGTGATAAAATTGTCAAAGGATGCCATCACACAACTATCTTCAACCAGTACTGACTTCAAATATTTAAATCGACTGAAATTGCAGAATGAAACTTCGCACAAATCGAATGTTATGACGGAGACCAGCAGAGCTTGTTCTGAAAGAACAGTAATACTTAAAATCAAGTGACTAGGAAACAATGTCACTGAAGCATTGCACCACTTCCTTTTTATGCCCCCAATTGGTAGTTCAGCTTACAGTGGTTGTATTAACAATTAATATTAATTATCTTATCGTCCCATGTAACTTCCTGCCCAATAACAGAAGAATGTGCTGTGAAAAAAGTTATCTGTGAAAGCAGGCCTTGACAGCAAATAACTCTTTTCGGTAACTGATTTCTTTGGTAGTTTTTCAAAACACACTATGTAAAATTAGTCTCCATAGAATTCATTTACAAAATACAACAATATCTAACTGGACAAACAGTTCCAACAGCAAATGGGACCTCATTTGTGCACACAATAAACCCATTTTGTACATAACACCGCACAATAACATAAAAATAATTATTTCTCATGGTTGAGAAGCAAAATGGGTAACACATGACTAAGGAACTTATTCCATCAATTTCAGTTATCTCCTACTTCATTTAACATTCTCAAAAAAAAAAAAAAAAAAAAAAAAAGACATGGTTTGAACTTAAATGGTTGAAAAACTGCAAACACGGTCAGAACTCAACTCAAATTAGTCCAAACTAATTGCTATTATATCACTAAAGTTGAAAATAAAGGTCAACATTCTACACTATAAAACATAATTTCAATCCATGGAAGGCATTAGAAATGCTTCAGCCAAAGTTAAGAAAGTAAAACACCCTTCAAAAGAAAGGAATAAAATTAATACAAAACAGATAAAACAAAACAAATAATACTTTAGTGTCACTTGGACTAACAAGTATGCCAGCAATGGCTAATGAAACGAATGTGTGTTACCTAAGAATACATGTTCTCATTCGAAATGAAACATAATACAGTTGGTAACTAACATAAGCAGCCAATCTGAAAAGAGCACCAAAATTTGATCCTCGTGAAATACTTTTTCTTTTACTTGATCAGAGATTCAGAACAAAAAAGAAGAACAAACTGCATACAATTACAAATGCAGGAAAATATTTTTCTTTTAAAGTGTCAAAACAAAAACAATGAGTGAAAAATTCTACTCTTCACATTAAAGGCTTATAAAACTGCATTCAACAATCACAAACTCATCCTTACAAGGAACAAAACAATAAAATTGACACCTGTCAACACAATACAAACCAAGGTTACTTCCAAATCTTTCTATGTTAATGAGTGGTACCAAAGACGCTATTAATCACATCAAAATTTTCACAATTGCATTCCAACAAATTATTTGCAACAAGCAACATTTAGTGACCCTTTTTTCGATATTAGATGACTGTTTCCTACCTCTTCAGACTACTATCAAATGTCAGCTTAAAGCACATCAGTAACAAACTTTCACACACTAGCACAGAAGACTACCACACATGTGTACATGTACATATCATATGGACAACATCAAGCTCTGCAAAATACAAAGCCAGTCTACAATACCAAATAAAACAAGAAAAAAAATGCCTAATAGATATGCGACTTCAGATACAATGCAAAGCATTCACCATGAAACTTGCATTGCTGACTTGGCTGGTAACAACATATACTTCCTTTTCCTAAAAAAAAAAATTAAAAATAGACGGATCTATGTCAGGTAAACAAATGAGGACACTACCATCATTACTCACAAAATATGCATTCAGTCTAAAAAGGTGAGGATTGCCCATTAATTTTGCAGTTTACCAATGAGGATTGCTCTTTAGCGCATATATGTGAAGAAGTCTTGAGGGTTACTCAATCATACTCAAATACAATATACAGGAATTTGTTTTGAAGAGGTGAAAACAAACTTATAACTTGTTCAGCACAAGTAACAATAAATGCTCTTGGTGATTGGAGATGGCTCAAATTCAGACATATGCTACAATAAATAAACTAAAATAGTATGCTCAATTCAGCACAATGACAGGACTAGATGATTGCTCAATTTTGCACAGGTAATATTTACCTAGCTACCTAAGACACTCAAGTAACAATAGAGTGAGTTTGCATTGCACTATTGAGAGGAAGTACTATGAATGGCCCAATTTCAAGTAACAATAATCGTAATGTTTGATTGATTAGAGACATTTCAGAGTCTTCGGGGTGGCTCAATTTTACCTAAGTTAAACAAAAATTGGGGTTTGCTTTTTTTAATGCATAAAAGTCTTGAGATTTTCACAATTTGTTAAAGGTAAAAAGTCACATTTTGTTAAAGGAGCAACTTGAGAGCAAAGATACACTGGAAATGTAAAAACGTACAATATGGCTTATACTTGAAGAGTTCCCAGTCTTTATGAACTTATCAGAAACCAAACAGTGGCCAGTAAAATTGTGTCCTTACTATGTCACATTTACAAATAAAGTGCTTAGCTTTGCACAGTTTCCGATTGGGTTCAAGTGCTTAATATGCCACGGTTTTGATCTTTTTTAAATGCAACATTCCTCACTAAGTCTAATGCCTTATTAACATTGTCAGAAAACAAACCCTATGGTAAATTACGAATGAAAAATTGAGTGCTTGATTATTCATTTACCAAAGGTGTTAAGGTGCTTTACTTTTCACAGTTACCAATAGAGTTAAAGTGCTAAATTTTTCAGTAATTAATAGAGTTGAGTGCAAAATTTTTCAGTTTACCATTGGAGTTGCGTCTTAAGAGCACATACACCATGACCATAACACAAATTGTTTACTTGATAGTCAGATATCTTTTTGAAGCTTAACAGAAACAAAACCCTGGCAAATAATTGATCTTAGTGATGTGTTTAAAAAAGAAAAGAGGGTCTTAATACATGTAACGAGTTATTGCTCTACACCATCATACAAAATATAAATTCTTAGGAACAAAAAATAAAAGATGTGCTTTTTAACGGAAAGCTATTTTGCAATACAACAGCAAAGGCTTCCAAAGAACTGACTAGAGGTTTATCATATTTAATTTCAGCTAGGCTGATATCTAAAAAGGGTTGACTAAAAAGTTCATATTCCATTAAGTAGAATAGAAACTATACATAAATGCCACATAATGTATTCTTAAAATCTAAAAGAGGAGTGGGTGTAGAGGAAAGCAAAATCAAGATAAAACAAAGAACATTCAATCTCTGCACGTAAGCTTCTAGGTTAATATCACATTTCATGAAGCAACTGCATACAGCAGCATTGGACTTTCCGGCTCCTAAAATGCTCCTTAGATTATGAACTTTCACATCAACCCAATGGCACTAACAAGGTAAAGGTTCCTCACAGAAAAAAAATAATAAAAAACTTATTTGCAAGTTAAAACAATGACTAAAACAAGAAGGAATATGCTGAACAGAATTATCATAGATCCTCACTTTGTGATAGTCAGTGGCAGTAAATACTACATAAAATATTTGACAAATCTTTCCATTACAGCATATCAAAATAAGAAGGATGAGTAAAAACATCAAAACTTAAACCAATGCTACACATGTTTGTTGTGTTGTAGAAGTTCACCATTACACATTGTCAATATCCTTAACACACAGCCCACAGAACTGAATTGATAGATTCAATACCACAGAAACAATGTAAAAAGAACAAAAACTTGGATAAATCTGCAGAACCATAGGATTTTGTGCAGTGTATGAACCTGAGATTGTCATAGAGCAGGAAAAACTTACAGCTGCCATTAAGGACACTAGAGGAAAATAATATCAGGGTACTGTAACTTAAAAAAGAAAAGAAAAAAAAAGACCCAAAAACATAAGATGAGAAAACTTTGTCACAGGCCTTGTTGACTCCATTACAACAGTGCTCAGAGCCGTGTATGACAGGTCTAAGTTTAACATTGATGATCACAAATAAAAACAAAACAAGACAAAACTAATTAAAAGACAATATTGATGTAACAACAAAATCTCAATTAACAGGAAGCATCTGTTGACCAGTACCATTGACTAGAGTAAGACAGACAACATCCAGCTCTAATAAACTAATGATGAAAAAAAGAACAAACAAAAACAATGTTTACAATGATACTTATACAGATCACATAACTATTGTATATTCATTATCATTAATAATGACAAATGAAAATGCATTATGAAGTTTTCCATTAACATTAATACAAACATCTAAAACTGTGTATTAACAAATTATTTTAAAACAGATTTTATACAGGACTTGTAACATGAACTTTAAAAATTGTCTTCAAACAATTTAAGATACTGCTAGACTTAGAACACAGCTATTCCAGAGATGTGTTAACATGTTAATTATGAACAAACACCCGTAACACCCAAGACGTCACAGTATTAACGGAGTGGGGAAATCCCAGTAGGGTAGGCCTTGTCTATTCCCACATTGGAAGCTTAGAACCGTGCAAATCAGACATATTTCGTGGTGCCCAAAATGTCTGGTCGAGCACCTAAATAAGTATACTGTACTTATACATTAGGTATATAGCATCTTATCATATCAGTACTAGAAAGTGTCTTGTGCGCGTATCTTGGGCGAGTCAGTCACCGCCCCAATTCTCAGCTTCTGCGGATACCTATACTATGCTACTCAATGCTATGCTTGACTACGCAGCACAGCTTGTAGCTTACATATTAAACATACAAAATGTGTCATATTATGAAACAGCAAATGCACACAATTTTGCTGAGGTTATCAAGTCTAAACATATTATGACACACGGTATATGATTTGACAGACACTTAAGAAATCAATGAAAGAACTGAACACGAATATTTATGATCTTCAAAGCACTTACTGCTAACAGTTCAAATTTCTGCCTCAAACAACAGAATATTTTGAACAGGATTCCATGAAGTGGAACAGAGTAACCTTTACATTCATGACATAAAAGTATTTTTCTTGGAATCTATTTAAATTTGGGAAACATCAATAATACTAGAACACCATCTGGAGTTACAGGAGATACTTCAAGCAAGGTTTAAGTAACAATTTGCATGTCACTCTAAATTAGGCATCAAACAATACTGGAAGGCTCTAACATTTTTTAACCTCTGACCAGAAAAAAAATTTATGGCAAGACAACAAACCATTTTAACATATCAGAGTTTCGATGACCTAAAAACAAAATAAAAACTATAATAAAAAACAAAAAAGGAAAAAACGTAAGATGTTCTAACTTAAACAACAAATAATAAGAATTAGGTACTCCAGACTTTCATAAACAAATAGCCTGTATGTACCAAATAGCACCAACAATGTATGCCATAGGGCATAGTCAGTCACACAGCAACTCGGGTATGTTAAAATGAAACGTGTCAAGCCAGTCAATCTTTTTGAGGATAATTTAAACCCAGAGCCAGTCTGAGGAATATCTTAAAAATATCATCTCAAAGCGGTCCATGGGTTTCCATAACAGAAATGCCTTGTACCACAGGCCTGGTGCCTTAAAAGCAGCAATGTCAGAGACAAAGCACCACTTTCCGCTAGTCAGAGGCAGACAAGTGCTACCAACAAGCGCAAATGGCAGGCTGCGACATCAATGACAATGGCTGTTCTCCAACAGCCAAGCATTTGAGTAGACAGCATCACAAAATACACTGAAAGACAATCAGCTCATTATAACAAAACTAGGCTGGTGTTGACTGAAAGCGACCAGGGTTGAAGTCAGGATTAACAAATGAGAAGCCTTTAAATTCATCTTGGTTGATTGATCGAACCACATCAGCATTAATAGGAGTTAATATAGGTTCTTCCTTAGTGAATTCTGTGTCAAAGTTGAGAGCATCTTTCTTGTTTTTCTGTAAGTAAAAAAACAATATATAGTAAATTTCTTAAATATACATTACAATGCGCATTTCAAAGTGACACTTACAATCTTTGGCTTGAAGGGTGGCTTGACACGTCTGCACTCCAATGCTTCCCAATCCATTTCTCTGAAAAATGGATGGCTTCGAATAGCAGCTTCTGTCCCCTGAGAAGTTACACATCCCAGACGCTTTGCAGGGTTCTTGGTCATGAACTGCAAGTGAAGAAATATTGTTAAAGGGATTAGTACACAAATAAAAGTAAGCATTTGTAACTTTTGTGACTTAGGCAACATTCCTTGGGAATTCCATTGTAAACTCTAAGACAAAGGTGATTCTTACCCCTTTTAGTATTGACACAGCTTCTTTGCTGAGCCATACTGGATATAGTACATCATCATGCAATATAGATTCAAACAAATCGTCTTCATTATCAGCTTCAAAAGGTGGCTGGCCAGCCATCATCTCATACATCAGAACTCCTAACGCCCACCAGTCAACACTTGGGCCATAGTCAAGCTCTTGGAGTATCTGAATAGATTTTGAGAAAGCAGTTTAAGTTTAAATTAAATGGTACCATAACACATCTTGTTGTCTAGAGCAATAAATAAAATCCACCTCTGGTGCAATGTAGTCTGGTGTTCCACAAAAAGTTGTTGTAGTTACGCCATCCATGATCCCTTCCTTACACATTCCAAAGTCCGCAAGTTTGCAGTGCCCCTCATTATCCAGCAAGATGTTGTCAAGCTTTAGGTCTCTGAAAGATAATTTAAAAAATAAAATACTAGTGTGTGTTGTTGGGGAATTCAATATAATTACATGACACTGCACAACAGCAACATTTACCTGTACACAACACCATGTCGGTGTAAAAATTGAAGAGCTAATGTAACCTCAGCAGCATAAAACCGAGCTCGTGGTTCATCAAATTTTCTAGCTCGTTGAATTTGGAACATCAAATCTCCACCATTGACATATTCCATGACAAAGAAAAGACGATCCTGGAGTGAGAAGTTACATCGGAATTTATAAAAATACAAATTATAAACAAATTTATGTGCATGGGAACCTATGCAGAAAGAACAAATCAACAAACCTTTGTTTGAAAACACGAATGAAGTGCAGTTAAAAAAGGGTGCTTGGCAGCCAATGCTAAGATGCGTTTCTCTGTCATAGTACAGTCAACATCTTCATCTTGAATGATCACATCTTTTTTAAGCACCTGAAATGAAAACCAAAAAAAAAAAAAAAGGAACCTTAGTGCAACATAAATTTTAAAATAATATGGAAAAAAATGAATGTAACATTATGCACCTTAACAGCATACACCTCATCTGTTCCCCTTTTTTCTCCAAGCATAACTTTGCCAAAACTGCCCTTGCCCAAAACTTTGATGAAATGGAAATCTTCAAGCCCAATCTTCCTTTCTCGACCACTCCTTTCACTTGGTTCTGAAATTGTATTTGGCGTCCGACCTAGAATGAGAGAGAAAACTTTTTAGTTTTACACTTCATAAACAACAAAAACAGAAAACCATTTTGCCATAAACCTTACTTTTATCTGACTCAAAATCTTTTGACTTTTCACGCATTTTCTCCTCCATAGCCATTTGAGCAGCAAGCCTCATAGAAACTTCATCTTCATCTCCAGCAGCTTCATCAGATAAAGGTGCTAGAGCCCCTCCACTTCCTGGTCTATCACTGGCAGACCCACTTCCTGCTGCACCATGTTGAGTTGTACATTTAACACGCCGTGGTGCCGATTTGTCAGTGGAAATCCCCATTTGGGAGAGTAATTGTGCCATTTGCTTTGGATTTATACCACAATTGTTAGCAACATTCTTCTCGCAACGCTTGTGAACATTGAGTTTGCAAGCTGTGAAATAAAAAACAATGACAGATAAATTTAAAGCCACAGTTTTGACAATACTATGTAATAAATTTCTTAAGGTTGTTATTACCTTCACACTGGAGCCCTTGCCGGATAAGCCCATAGAGAAGAGAGCCACAATGGTCACAGAATGTGAAACGTTTGAAGCTGTGCGTCACAAAACGGTGAGGAACATTCACATTAAAGCGCTGACCTTGTGTTCCTTGTGCAGCCTATTAAAAATAGTAGAAGAAAACATTAGCACCACTTTGCAGTCTGCCACAAAAATCTTTTAATAAGAATGCTACAAAAAGGACTGCCAGACCACGGAGACAGGCTAGACTATTAGCAAGCAATTACAGCAACTTTGTAAAAGTAAGGAGTCATTGTATCTCAAGTATAGCATCAGAATAACAGCACATGCAAGCACCCATTCCACCACCAGTACAACCACCACCTGAAGACCAGACCACAGAGGTGGTTCTACCTTGAAGGTGGGCAAGGTGCTACGCCGACGAGCAACTTGAACCACCCTCACCTCATCCTGGGTGCTATCTTTAATGCCTGGACACTTTGTCAGAACTTGATTGTGGCATCGTTTGTGCACAACGCATGTACAGACTGTAAGAAGAGGATAAAATCAAGATTATTCTCCATGTCAGTGTAGTTCAAAGCACATGAAGCTTCTGAAAAGTTTGTCTCACCTTGGCATTGGTATCCTTGTTTGCCGATGCCCCTGAAAAGACAGTGACAATTCAGATGAGCAGGTGAATAACATTTAACATGGCATTATATCAGAGAAAGAATGAGCAATAAGAAAATACCATATAAAATCGCGGCAGTGTGAACAAAATGTGGGTTGTCTCAAAAATGTAGCCATAAACTTGTGTCCATTGAACTGATGTACACGCCTTCGCATAGCACCTCGCCTTCGGTTGAAACCTTGGCGCTCCTTGAATTCCCTCGGCTTTTGAGTAGCATGTTCTGCTAAGATAAATTTCAAGAGTTAAAACATTTCAATGGAAAACTCCTAAAGTTTCCTAACCCAGCAATGGCAAAAAATTACCTTGGGCGGCCCATTTTAGATCAACTTGCAGTCGTAGTCTTCCTTGAGGTTCTAAGTCAACCTGAAAAAGTATGCAAACTTAATAGGTGAAAAACAAAATCCTCAAAAATCCAGTCGTTGAAAAGAGGTTTTCTACTGGTAAGAACCAACGTATCAAGGTTATCAAGGTACAATGTAGGTCAGACAAGATAGTAGAACAAAATGAAAATTAGCAAGAAATGTTACTATGGTGTCCAAGTTAAACAAGGAGTTGGATGTAGGAGCAGAAATCATGGAAACAACTGAGCTAAGCTTTATCACATGACCCAAGCACGATATAAAAACAACTAAAACTTATTGATGCAGTTTTAGGCACCTTGATCAAAGATGAGGAAAGACATTATCATGGTAACAATTGTGATATTGTGATAATCAATACGAAAAATACTCATTTTAAAAGCACTGATTAATTGGTATATCACAGTATTAGCATTATTCACAAAGTCCGGACTGAGCGGCAGAGCTACAATAGTCTACGAGAGGGAGGGAAGTCACATCAAAATCGTGTTAGAAAAGTCACTGGTGACCACAGTTGTCACTTTCAAGAGACATGTAAACACTGGCAGTGCTGTCCTGGACACATCCTAGCCCACACAACCTATCACCCCACATTCTGACAGGCACTATCAACACAGCCTTACCCAAAAATCTGAGGCTTCCTTGTCTCTTTGAAGCAGTTCTTCGAAGGGGATGGTACAGTTGGCCACAAAATCGTCAGGAGGAATAGCAGCATCGTGGAACACCGTCAGCCCAAGATTCATGGCGCTCTGCACTTCGTGCGTGAAAGATTCCATCCATAGCGGATCAAAAGTCTTGGGTTTGGTCGAAGACCGATCCAAATGATTTTCATCGACATCTATGGCAACGTATGGGTCTATCGGCTGGTCATCGGGCTTGCCAAATGTCATGTTATGTCGTTTTTGAAAGTCGGTTGGTCTCAACCCTGAAGCCTGACATATCGTCACCTTCACCGTTCCAGTGAACATTGGCAGCGACGAACCAGCAACCCCTTGAGAACCTTGCAAACGCAACCTTCGAATAACTCAGGAAACTGATGAACGTATTAACTGCATAGGAAAACACTTGGAAATACTGTTAGCCACAAGATTTTCTTGACAGCCATGAAGGTCGATTTTGATAAAAATTCACTGCACAGTGCACCTTAATTAGCTATCCCACAATGCCTTTCGTTACGTCAGAAGGGCACGGCAACTGAGACTACTCTCTCGCGCTCGCGCAAGCGCAATGGAATGTGGATGAAGTTTGGGACAGTTTAAGATGTAATGTCTTTTAGTTCTCTGCTATAAAGTACTCTCAGTTGCCTTCCACGGACTGCGCAATTCTTAAAAAATCTTAATCGTCAAATTGGCGCTAAAAAGTGGGCACCGGAAAGGGAGGGGGGAGTCCAGCCTTCCCTGACATCTTCCCTTCTGTTATTAAAGCATATTATCCTCCTTCCTCCTCAAATAGCCCTTCCATTAGGAGCTAAACACGCCCTGATTTTTTTGTGTGCTCTTGATTCCGAAAACTAAATGTGCCCTAAGCGGTTTTGAACCTTTTACAGTCTCCGGCTGGCGCGGGAAAAGACGATGACGCCATCGCAGTTCCCATTCCCCCGTTCGGAACGCGTCCCTCCCTCCCTCCCTCCCCCCTCCCTCTCCCCCTCCCCCTTATCAACGTTTGGCTGAAAGTGGAGCCAGTGCTCGATAGATAGGGACACAGGGCAAGCCGTCGGCAAGGGCCAACGCTTATGCTGAAGTTTGGATAACAAATGTTTTGATTTGGAAATAGCGGCAATTGGACCAGAATTTGGCCAATTCCGGGTGTGGGTGTTTGGGGTTTCTGAAACAGGTAAGAGTGCATCGGGGTTTTCGCCATTGCTTGTGCCTAATACTGTTTGACGTTTTCTGCAAGATTTTGAATTCAAACGGTTCAAATTCTGTAATTTACCTGGACTAAAGTAAGAATTTCTGTTTTCTGTAGGTATTTCTCATAGATTTGAGTTCAATAGCATTTCCCTAATTCGCACACTGCGTTCTAACTTGAAAATTGTAAAGATAGAAAGTGGCGTCTAATAACCCTACTTAATTTTTTTTCGAAAGTTTTCACTTATTGCTACAGAAATTTTTGCTTTTTGCACTTCTAGGATGTAATATAAGTTCAATTAAACTTTCACACTTTTGTGCCGCTTCACGAATTAATCTGTAAGGTATTCTAGCCCTAGTCTGATTTGGTTCTTTCCACACAGCTGATTCTCAATATGTGGTTCAAGAGAGCTAGTTTTCTTGGTGTAGTCTGGCTACCTTTCGCTAATCTTTTAACCCTATTTCAGGATTTCTGATTCTTATTCTTACCATGGCTGCGCACCTGTAATCAACTTCATGTTGCGGTGGCCGAATAACCAGGGCGTTATGGTAAGTTTTCTTAGCCACAGCCATTGCTCTTGTGATTGTAGCTATGAGACTGACATGGTTTGTATTCTTTTATCAGGGAGACGATCCACCTTATTTAGTTGTAGGCACTGAAGTCAGTGCTAAATACAAGGGTGCCTTTTGTGAAGCTAAAGTTCGCAAAGTGGTTCGAACTGTAAAATGCAAGGTAACTACTGTTAATTTGTATCCAATATCTCTCCAGAGCTCTGTACATGACAAAGTATTTCCCGTTTCTAGGTAAATTTTAAAGTTGGGGGTTCAACTGTTGTAACTGATGATCAAATACGAGGAAATCTAAGGGTGAGAATTTTCAAGTGTTAACTGTGTTATGATAATGATCTGTGCATAGATAAATAATGCATTGTTTTTTATTTGTTTTTGTTCTTGACCTAAGATTGGATCGGTTGTTGAAGTAAAACACCCTGATAGAAAAGAGTTTGTTGAAGCATCCATTACTAAAATCCAAGATTGTAGCCAGTATACTGTTGTTTTTGATGATGGTGACATCACCACACTCCGACGTACTGCTCTGTGTCTAAAAAGTGGGAGACATTTTGCTGAAAGTGAGACGCTTGATCAGTTACCCTTGACTCATCCAGAACACTTTGGAAATCCTGTTGTTGGAAGCAGGAGAGGGGGAAGGAGGAGTCGAAATCCAATGTAAGTCATTCATAGAAATGTCATTACATGCACTCAATGAGGGAACTCTTTATTTCAGTAACTTCTTTTTGTTTTATTTTAAAATATAGGAGTGATGAAAGTAGTGAGGAAGAAGAAGAACCACCCAAAGGAAAATCAAAAGAAGAAAAAGAGGCAGACATTGGTAAAGTTGTATGTGTGGAATTAGGAGACAAAAAAAAGCAAAAGGACAATTGGTTCCCCGGGCTTGTAGTTCATCCAGCTGCCCAAGAAGTTGTACGCATCAGAGTTAAAGATGAATATTTGGTTCGATCTTTTAAGGATGGAAGATAGTAGGTGTTCGTCTTATGTACCTTTATTATCTCTTGATGCTCAGGACTACATAATTTTAATGTTCATTATTTTTCACCAATTTTCAGTTACACTGTTCCCAAAAAAGAAGCAACTGAATTTACCCGAGAAATAGGGTTAAAGGTTGACAACAACATTTTAAAATCAGGTGCTGATTCTTAAATATCTTACCACTATCCAAGAGAAGTGCCTAAATTTTCTCTAGTAATATAAATTTGTGTTTCAGCTGTTGATAAGGCATTGCAGTATTTAGACAAGGATGAACTGCCCCCTCATTGGGACAGAGAACTGCTGTTTGGTTTAGATGATGCCTCCACAGCATCAGACAGCGATGCCGCTTTTGATTCAGATAGCTCTGATGATGAGCCAAGAGAAGAAAAGGATCACTTTGTGGCCCAACTTTACAAGTTCATGGATGATCGAGGCACGCCCATCAATCGGGGACCATCCATAACTGGACGAGATGTTGACTTGTACAAATTGTTCAAGGTAATCACTCAAACCTCTTTGTATATTTTTGCCATTTATTATTTCTGAACTTTTTTAACATAATTTTGACAACTTGGAATCAGGTTGTACACAAAATTGGAGGCTGTAACAGGGTAACGAATCATAACCAATGGAAAATAGTCTCTCACAAGATTGGCTTTGGCCAGTACTCAAATACAGCCAACTTAGTCAAAGGGGCCTATAAAAAGTACCTTCATAGTTTTGAAGACTTCTACAGAAAGCTGGGTTGCACAATGGTCAATCACCCCCGCGGTAATAGACCACGCCATAAAGGTGGAAGGAGTTTAATAAGGGACAAAGACAGGTCCACTCCTGTTAATGTGCCTCGAGGGGACAACAAAGTGAGTAATTGTTCTTTTTCTCTTATATTTCCCTCTGTGTTACTATGTCTGATCGCTTAATTTGTCTTTACTAGGACAAGGGTTCTGACACTGTTGATGAGGATGATGATATGTTGGAGAAAAGTGAAGAAGGTGCTGAGTTGAGTTTAGATGAGAAAGATGAGGAAATAAGTAAACCTAAAGAAGGTAAGCAAATTTTTGAGTTCTTCTTTTTTAATCTTAAAGATAATTTGCTGTTATGTATGGGCTGCTAACTTTTTTTTATGACTTAACAGTGAAAGAGCCAGAAGTTGTTGCGAAAATGCCAACTGGACCTTCACCACCAGAACGTAAGCTGTTAGATCCTCAGTTGAAAATCAGCACTCCTAAAGGCAAGCCAAAAAAGATGACAGAAGGTTCTTGTAGCAAGAATGTGTTGGATTCAAAGAAGAAAATTGTTGTTACCAAAATTAAGGGAGCAAGAGCAATCGATGATGATCATGATGATGAAATGGAAATGCTAGATGTTGAGGATCTAGATGAAGAGGATGAGGATAAGGTAAGTACCAGTCGTCTATTGAAGCTGGAGTGTCAAGTTTCAATTCTCAGTACTAAGTTCAAAGTTTTCATTTAAATTGCAGCTCACAACTACAAGGTCCAAGTCTAAGGACGATTCCTCAAGGCTTAAAGTAGAAAAAAGTGTTGCTGAAGGGGATAAAAAAGCGAGATCAATCGAAGGAAGTGAAAGGCGAATAAAACCATCTTTAACTGCTACAGCTGAAAAACGTTTGGGGCGTCCTTCACTTACAACTGTTAGTGACAAAAAAGCTAAAGGGAGTCAAGACAATGATCGCAAAACTGTACGATCATTAGCCGCAGAATTTGAAAAGAAATCTCGAGGATTGGAAGTTGACAAGAAGGAAGCATCTAGTTCCGATAGTGACAAAAAACCCCGTTCTTATTCTGTCAGTGACAGTGAAAAGAAGATTCGCCCTTCGTTAACTGCCACATTAGAAAGAAAAAAATCATCAGTTCTTGAAATTGATAAGAAAAGTCGTCAGAGTGGCACTGATTCTGAAAAGAAAATTCGCCCTTCTTTATCGGTGGACCTGGAACGCAAAAAAGTGAGGCCATCCCTCACTGCTGATCCCATGAAAAAAGTGTCTCGACTTGACAGTGACAGAAAAAAAGAAAAGTCCTCTCGATCGTCAGATGCAGATAATGATATGGAGAGGAAATCAAAGTTGCATGACTCTGATCGGAAAAACAGTTCTTCTGAGTCTTCTAGACATTCGTCTGGAGACTCTGATAAGAGGGTTCCAAAATCAGACTCAGGAGACTCTGAGAAAAGGGGAAACTCAAAAACAAAGAAGGGAGATGATGATAAGAAGAAGCTACAAGCACGTAAACGGAAGGATAATGATGATCCAGCAGGTTCGACAGATGATAATTTAGACTTGCTTCCAAATTACAAGAATGTTTGCATTGGTGACAAACTCAAAGTTTACTATGGACCTACACATGAATCAAAGGTTACATATGAGGCTAAAGTGCTCGAAGTGGAAGGGGGAGGTCAAGAGGAATCGTATCTTGTACATTATACAGGCTGGAACAATCGTTATGACGAATGGATCAAACGCTCAAGAATAGCTGATAACTTGAGTTGGTCTCCTGCTCGAGGCAAACGTCGTCACCAGGCTCAAGTTCCAGGAGCCAAGAAATCATCTGTTAAGGGGTCAAAGCGTATCTTAACTCCAGCTCGAGATGGAGCATCTCCTTTCCAGAAGGACCAAAGCCAAGCAGCTCCAGCTTTCCCTGGTGTAGATAAATGTCGTGACTCTCAGCCGCCTCGTTGTTCTACACCCTCATCTGTGACTTCTTCATCCAGCCGAACTAAGTCCCCTGCCATGAGACCAGGCTCTGCCCGAGTTACTCGTAACACCATTGGGGACATGTCACAAGTGGACCAGCCCACAAGACGAACAAGAACCAGACGCATTAGTGGTCAAACAGGTTAGTGCTAACCCTAATTATTTGCCCTCCCACGCAAGATATTAGTGGGCCTCCTGAAGGGTGGTCTCTGCTTATCACTTTAGTTCAGCAACTACTTTGTATGCATATTTACCAATGTTTGAGGCATTACTGTATCTAATCCTTATTTTATTGTTTAGATGTACCATCAGAATCAGAAAGTGATGCCAGTGAATCGGAGAGTGAAGCTGAACCCTCAGTTACCAGGAAAAGTTCACGTCGTCTTGCTTTGGAAAAAGAAGAAGAAACTTCAAGGAAGGACAGTTCTACAAAGAAAAAACAACAGAAACGAGACACTGAGATTGACCCTGATGAAGATGAGAAAGATGGTGATAAGGACGATTTGAAGGATGATGTTAAGGATGAAGATGAAGCTTCTAGTGAAACACTCAGTGAAGGAAAGGTTAGTTTCTCATGTTCGAAAATCTAATGGCTTCTGATCAGAATTTTGTTTCTAACAAATTCGTAATTTTATCTTGTTTGTTTGTTATGTTTTTCCTTGCAGTTTCGTCTGAATAGGCCTAGAAAGTCTAAAGGACGCAAAAGTGATGTCAAGGTTGAAGTAGAAGAGGATGAAGAAACATCCTCAACACAGGTAACCAGAGGGAGAGACTTTGATTTGAACCAAATAAGATCCGAGTTGAAAGGAATAGATAAATCTGTTCGGGCATCTTCTCCGACAAGTGATGAAAAAGATCAAAAGACTGACTCTGATACAGAGCAAGACGCAGATGTTGATGTGGATACCCCTAGTCTTGAAGAGAAACCATGTTCACTATTTGAAACTGAAGATTCTGCCCTAGACACTGAAGATATTTATGAGTTCAAAGAACCTGAACCATTTGAATTTGAAGTTAGATCCAAGCGGGAATCTTCTGTGGAGCGCACTGGTAAGCTGCAAAAACGGCCCCTTCCTCGTCTATTCGACGATATTTCGGAGCCTGCTGTTAAAAGAAAGGCTGTGCGTGCCGCTGGTGCCGAATCTGAAAGCTCTGAAGAAGGATTATCACCCTCAAAGAAAAGGGTGAGGCGACCTGTGAACAAAAAAGATGATTTGGATGTCAAAGTAGAAGCTCATTCTCCACCACCTGATATTAATATGGAGAAAAATACTTCAACAGAACAGCTTACTCCACAGAAGAAAATGTTTTCTCCAACTTCTGAGGATGCTTTTGAAAAGTTACGTCAGTCTCCTAGCTACCGATTTTCGGCTGGCAGCCCTATTAGGGCGCGCACTCCAACTCCCTCCCGTTCGTCCCCAGTTCCGGTCCCATTGCAAAGTCCACCATCGTTATCTAGCTCTTCTAGTGTGATTTCTAGCTCTACTGTTGTCAAAACACCTACCTCCTCTGTCTTAAGCATCGTTGGTCACACATCTGCTACGGCCAAAGCAGCTCCTGTCTTAAAACAGGTCACAACTCCTCAATCTCCTAAAGCCACTCCAACCTGCCCCTCATCATCCATGAAGCCTTTACCACAAGAGAGCAAACTATTAGGAAAAATGAAACCACTCTTACCTCCTCCCCAAAATGTGTCTGTGCCTTCCCAGCCCCCAGTACTGGCTGTCGCTGTTAAGGTACCCACTGAAAACCGTGTCATTACCAAAACAGAAGATTGGCTGAAGAATAGGCAGCAAGCCCAAGAAAAATCAGAATCAAGTAAAACTGAACAAACTCCTGTCAAGCCAGAAAGAGATGACAGTTTACCACCTTTGGTTCCAACAGCACTTAGTATACCAGTGACGGGTAGAGTTTCACCTGAACCTCCCCAACTCCTGCCAATGTCAGTTCCTGCACCCAAACTCATTCAAGAGCCATCTAAATCTGCAACCAAAGATGTGCAGATGCCGATGATAAAAAAAGAAGGTGTGGCACTTTCTGATATTGTTGGTGTAAGCAGCCCTCGTCCTGTTCAACCTGTCACAACGGGACTCAAATCTCCTGCTGGTGAAGACACACCTGATGATCTATCTGAGGATGACTCCCTAAAAAAGGCTGGTAGAAGAAAACCTTTACTTAAACGAAAGAAAGCTGTTAGTAAAGAGTTTGTTGAAGACTCTGACTCTGACAGTAGTAGTGATGAAGAAACACGGTTAGTTATTGATAAGACGGAGTCATCTAGTGACTCTTCTAATGAATCAGTTGAAACTAAATTAACACCTCCTGTAAGAGAGTTTGAGTCAAAGTGGCGAGCATTACCAAAGGTAATTATTTTAATTTATTCTAATTGCTTTAGATTTTACATTGTTTTACTTTTATATTTGTCTTATTATTATTATTTTCTGTTTCTAGGTGGGAGATTTGCCTAAAGACTCCTGCAATGTGCAGCAAACTGTTAGTGTAACCAAGAAAGAAGATACATCTCGATCCACGGCAGAAGAGCACCAGCCCTCTGGTGTATTGGCAGTGGCTGAGGTAGTGGCCGAGTTGGAGGAAGATGCTGATGCAGATGTTGAGACAGAAACTGAGACTGAGGCAGAGGCAGATATGGAAACAGAGGTCGAAGCAGACATGGAAACAGAAGTAGTAACTGAAGATATATCCCCTATAGTAAAAACTGAAGATGGGGAGGAACCTGAGGGAGACAACAATTTGTGTTCTCTTCTCTGTGAAGAAACTATTCCTGGTTCTCCTGCTCCCCTTTGCGATACACCCATAGATGTTCACACTGAAGCTAGCTCTTCTAGAGCATCTGATCGACCTTCAGAAAACACGAAGACTTCTTGCAAGGTTTTAGAAATGCCTTTTGCCAGTGTACCGGGAAACACCCGTTCGTCTGGACCCAGGTAAAGAAAATGCAAACCGCGGGGACCTTAGTTTAGCAGCCTTGTGCATAGTTTCTTTTCATCTTCTTGTCCGCCTTGTCATTATCAGTCTACTCACAAGTATTTGTATTTCTCCTTTAGTACATCAACGAATTCAGCATCAGTCCAGTTTGTGAATACATCTGCTGGAGAAAAGGCGGAGAACCTCTCCGACATGAATGCTTGTCCTTCAAAGGCAGCTCCGGATGTAGGTCCCGGTGCTGCCTCTGAGCCCCCTGCTGCTGCTCCTTCTACAGATGAAGCCACCCCTGTCATTGACAACACTCCACCCACCACCCCAGACAGCAGCATGTCTACTTTATCTAACTCACCAAGAGGGTCTGTACCTTTCATTGTACTGGAAATTTGGTTATACTTTGTTTAGCATTTTTATGTTAATGATAACCTGTGATTTTTGTGTGTGTTTAGGGAGCATGGAGATACCCTTTCTATATTAGATAATGATAGTATGAAGTCTCTTAGAGACTCAGAGGATGCTGAGAACAAAGACAACGATTTTAGTGATGATGGTATGTTTTAATTCTATTTATGTTTGTGTTCTGGTAAAACTGTTATTTTATAGAATTGAAATTTTCCAGATTTGGATGTAGGATCTCGCATGAAAAAGCTTTCTGAAAAGAAAGAAAATGAACGTAAAGGTAGATGTGATACTGATTCGGTTTCTATGAGCCCTGCCTCTCACAAGAAAAGACGACGTAGCCGGAAGGGTTCAGAAAGTGAAGATAGAAGCAAGAGACCAAGACATTCATCTAGTCGCTTGAGAGGACAAGGTTGGTCTTTGTGCAGCAGTATTAAAACTTAAACAAATTTCTGTAATGAAAATCTTTTTCGTTAAATTAAAACACATACTTCTCATTTCACAGCTACAGCAGGGAGTGACAGTGATGACAATAGAGAAACATTGATGCCAATCATACCTACATCACAAAGCCAGTCTCAACCGACCAATCAATCACTGCAGCTTCCATCATCATCTTTAATGACTGCAGCTCAGGCACAATCTGGTCGTTCGCCTCGACCATCTAAATACAACTTCTTTGTTGAACTGAGTAGGTTATTCTTCCAATTAGCTGTGCGAAAAGGTCAGCAGGTTTTTTTTGTTGATAGTTATTATTTGTCTTGTGTGTCTTGCAGCCCCAGAACTAGATGCATCACAACGCATAGCTCTTTTGCAAAATACCTTGCAAGACTTACGTAAAACATATGCAAATGTGAAGCAAGAGTTGGCTTGTATTGACCGCCGACGGAAGAAATTAAGGAGACGTGAAAGAGAAGGTGAGTTGGTTTTTAATGCAGCATAATAAAAATGATAAGTTGGAATATGATCTATATTTACAAGTGAGACTTTCTAGAAACCTTGACCCGCTACTTAAATTTTCTCATAGCACGTCTGGAGGCCCGGAAAATGATGCGAGAGGAGCGAAGGCAGGCAAGAGAGGAGGTGGTCAACTGTTGATGAAACCTGGGGATATTGATTCTGAGGCAGAAAAGATCACTTTATATGGCGCATAGCATGTTAGAGGTGAGAGCATGGAGGGTTGTTTGGGTCGTTTTAGTCTTTAGGAAGAAATATTTGGGCAGTTAGTAGTGGTGAGGAAAAGAAGCATTTGTTGACCAATTTCATGGTTTTCTTTTGGAAATTATAAATAATGATAATGACTAAGAGGTGTCTCTAAAGAATGAAATATTCTATGTTCAAGCTTAAGCCTTGAATGGTTGCTTGTGTGCAACAAATGTTTCCTTTTCCAATGGCAATATCTGGTTAGATAGATGTTTTGTAATTAAGGGAGTGTGAATGGGCTGAGGTGAGAAGTTAGTTACAATATGACGTAAATGGTGAATTATAAGATGGATGAATTAATTGGTTCCATTACACTTATGTCCTTACTAGGGTTTGCAGTTGAACCTAAAACTAAAGTAGAGTATTTGTCATTTTTTTTTCTACACACAGTATAAGCTCAATTTAGCATTGGCCCATATAACGTTATCTCGCTTGTAGCGCGCCAAATGTGTTACTTCAATGCGAAAAACGCCATTAATCGGCCGCCGCATATAGCGTTGGAAATTTTAAGCATCTGTCACGAACGCTGCATTGAGCTTATACTGTTTTTGTTTTTTTTTTTCATTTTGGTTAGTTACTCAAGGAATGTTTTGCAGAACTTTATCATCTTCTTTGTAGTCAACCAGAGTTGTGATTGGGTTTTACTTTTTTATGTTTCTCTTTACACCTTCATATCCTGAACATTTGCATAGGAGTCATTCTATGTGTGTGATTCTTTTCTTTTCAAATAGCTTTTCATAATGCCTTAGAAAATGCATGGCAAGTTATTAGGAAGTTATGAATTGGGTTCTATTTGGGAAAAAATACGACAGCTTTCCCTTGTCAGGTGCAGGTGGGATAGCTGCATTTCAGAGGAGTTTGCCCCTTACTCTCTCCCCAGTTTTCCTGCGGCCTGATATGTAAGGAAGATCACATTCATATCCAAAGCTTGCATTGCTGTCTTGCTTGATTTATGTTACTCATTCTTTTTCTGGTTAGGATGTGATGTTACTTAGTGCTTTTTATTCTAGCACATTGTCTTCATCTTGGTTCCTTAGCTGGTTTTAAATGGTTGAATTTAATTTTAAACATCCACAGAGATTAACTTGATACCTTAGCTTGTTTTAAATGGTGTGATTTAATTTGAAACTTCCACAACTGAAAAGTAACTAGACAATGAAAATCATTGGCAAATCTGGTGCTTTTGTTCAGATGCTTAGGCCTTCTCTTTCTTCCTTGGTTAGCTCTGTTGTTTTTCCTCTGTGATTCATTTCAGCCCCTGGATTCTTCAGTATGCAGGTTAATTATATGAGTTATAATTTTCTTCTTTTATTTTGTTGCAGAAAAAGCATCAAAACAAGAGATTTCCTGTGCCTAGCTGGCTTAATAGAAATGTTTCTCTCATTTCTCTCCTGCATCATCATTCATTAAATTTGTAAATACTGTGATGGGAGTTTCTTCGGTACCATTTTGTCTGCTTTTGTTTTATACTTCATCTTAGTTGTGGTTTGGTGTTGTACGCCAATACCTTTCATTTTCCCATATCACTTGACAAAGTATGTAGCTACTGTAATATGTATTTGCAATATGAGTTCAGTTAAAATTTTGTGAATTTATTAGACTTAAACTGATTTTATAACTGTCTGTGTTTGTACAGTTGGTATCAGATTAATTTTATTTATTTGAGTCAAGTACGTAGAGGATTTTCAATTAGTCATTTAATGATGTTGCTTTATGTAGTGTGGCAACATTCTGGAAGCATGCAACTTATGTTAAATTGTAACTTTCTCAATTCACTTACCATATTTCTTTGAATTTTCTCCAATATGTAGTTTATTTCAAAAACAAAGCTTTTCATGATGAAACTGTTAGCAATGTCCACTTCATTGCTATAAAAGGGGGTCGTTCCCAATGTTGAATTGATAAGAAACCAAGACTGATTTGTTCTTCCTTTCATGTACATTTAAGGTGGATCTCTTGTGGCACTCTGTTTAACAAAGTCATAAGATTTCAATTTCTTTTATTGTTTCAATTCAAGTAAGCATGCATTTGGTTGTGACCTCTTTGTAACCAATTGGATGTTGTGCCATTACCTTGTTTAAAGCGCACCATTTGTTTTGTTTAGCTAATGCCATTTTGTACTTTTTTTCTTTCCACTCTGTAATGTTTGTCACATAGCACAATCATCTTTGTAACATTTTTATCTATTCACTTATGTAGTGTAATCAAGTGGTTTTGTCATTGTGATTCCATAGTGTTTAAATATGGTACGGTTTTACTTGTTTATATTATTACCCCTTATTTTGTGTTGAAATGTAAAAAATGTTACTGTCTTTTTGTGTTGTGAACTATGGGCAGTGTAAATATTTTCTTAATGAATTGATGACATGATCGATAATACTTACTATGTTTTGTAGATTAATAGATTTAATTAGGACATGTTTAGACCTGTTATGTACATGAACGAATACATAAATAAGGGTTACAAGATTTTAGTCGCCAAGCGATTTTAGTGGTATTTAAGTTTTAAAACTGATTTCAATAAATGATGCTGAAAATACTTCGTGAGTTTTTATCTACCTGATTGTTTTTATATACATATAGTGTTGTTTACAGTGATTCGCGCTAGGGGGGTGGGGTTGAACTACCTTATAAAACATTAAAAGCATGATCTCCATGATTAAAGGTAGCAACTAAGGCTTTTGGATTTGGTAGCAACATGCTTAACCCCATAATAGCAAGCCTGGACGCCTGGGTCGGAGGCTGTGGCTTGAACCATTTTGGACCAATTTCACTAGATAAGTTGTCAAGGCACCTGCAGTTGCCGCCCCCCTCCCCTCCCTCCCCTTTTGAGCATTTCCCTCCCCCCTACCCTTTCCCCTTCCTTTCACTCGACATATGACGGATGACGACGTCTGGTCGTCTGGTGTGTCTGGAGCCTAATGTCAGTGCGTCGTTGATGACAAAGTCCGTCTGAATCATTTCAGTCAAGGTTTTTGGTTGATGGTCTACAGGTTTATCTTGACAAGTTTTCGTTTTTGGACGCTGTCATCATGAAGAAAAAGGTGCGTTGTTCCTAATTTTCGTAACATGTTTCGACTTCCCCTCCCGTTGTGCTTAATTTTGTACGTCGAGTATATTTGTTTTGCTGTAGTTACACTCATTTTTAACCGAGGTCACATAATTCTATGACATTATCTTTTAACACAGTCAATTTGGTATTTTGTTGTTTGAAGTGTGAGGTTAAGTTCTCTTACTGGGCGTTTCTTGTAAATGGACACCTTTGTGATCCATATTTACTTCTGCAAAGAAATTAATTTTACTCTATTGTAGGTTCTGCTCATGGGTAAGAGTGGGTCAGGAAAAACGAGCATGAGATCCATCATATTTGCCAACTACATTGCAAGGGACACTCGTCGACTTGGTGCCACAAGTAAGATAGTACCCTCACATGTTTTATGAACACCTTTTGTTCTATGCGATCAGATTTTAACAGCACTATACTTCCTCTTTTCTAACATTTTCTTCTTTCACATTTCTAGTTGATGTTGAACATTCTCATGTGCGATTTCTTGGCAACTTGGTCTTGAACTTGTGGGACTGTGGAGGGTAAGTAACTGATATTCTGTTAATTGATGTTATCTTTGATCCAGCTTAATACCAATAATACAAAATTATTTGTTCTTTCAGACAAGAGGCTTTTATGGAAAATTATTTCGCAAGTCAAAGAGATAACATTTTTCGCAATGTTGAGGTCTTGATCTATGTATTTGATGTAGAAAGTAGAGAATTGGACAAAGACATGCACTACTATCAGAGCTGTCTTGAAGCAATCTTGCAGTACTCTCCAGAGGCACGAGTCTTCTGTTTGATACACAAAATGGATCTCGTACAGGAGGATCAGAGAGACATGGTATATAACAAATAATTACCAAGTATTGTATCTACCGTATTTACTCAGTCATTAGATACCGCTAAGTATAAAACCCCCTATAAAGAGTGAAAAAGACAGATTAACTGTACAATTTGGTGTTGTTTTACTTTTGTTTGTGTCGTTAAGAAGTCCCTGGTTGTTTGATACACCTCCCTTTCAGGGAAAAAAATAGTGTTCTATTATTGGGCAAATACGGTATAAACAACAAAACATTTTGATAAAGAAGCAAACATACTGACTAAATAAGTATCCTCTCCTCAGATTTTCCATGAACGAGAAACAGATCTGAAACGTTTATCCAAGCCACTGGAGTGCACTTGTTTCCGTACCTCGATTTGGGATGAAACATTATATAGAGTAAGTTGTCTCAGTTCTCATTTTGCTATCAATATAAAAAAAAATGTCAATACACTATTGATTTAAGCAATCACAACAGGTCACTTCGATAAGAAATGTGTAACAAAGAGCGTTTTTTAACTTGTACCATTTAACTTATTTCAGGCATGGTCTTCCATTGTATACATGTTGATTCCAAATGTGAAGGAGCTTGAACAAAGTTTAAATCAGTTTGCGGGAATTATTGATGCTGATGAAGTTCTTCTCTTTGAAAAGGCTACTTTTCTAGTTATATCTCATTGTCAAAGGAGACCTCATAGAGATATGCATAGGTTTGAGAAGGTCTCCAACATTATAAAGCAGTTTAAGTTAAGTTGCAGGTATGGAATCATTTTTATACCTTTGTATTTTTTTCCCATTTGTTTTGGTGATTGCCTGTTACAGTTATGATTACTAGTTACAATGTTCTGAGGAGCTCCCTTGAGTCACTGCAATGACAGCAATACAGTTGCTTGGAAGTGGGACAAAGACCAACTGAAATCATATTTGTATTTGTGTGTATCTTTTTTTCTAGCAAATTGGCCGCTCAATTTCAAAGCATGGAGGTGCGGAATTCCAATTTTGCTGCTTTCATTGATGCTTTTACCACCAACACATATGTGATGGTTATTATGTCTGATCCTGCCATACGTAAGTTATTTTTGAAAATGTATGGAGTCTCTAAAAAATTTGCTACACATATTTGGCATCTACTGATTTTCTTTTTTTCATAATTACAGCTTCTGCTGCAACACTAATCAACATTCGTAATGCGAAAAAACATTTTGAGAAGTTGGAACGAGTGAGTCAGTCACATGGTGTTGGAGTCAAGTGATAAACTTGTAAATTTTTCACACAATTGAACTTTGACTTTCATATCACCATTTGTCAGTCTACTGGAACTAAAGCCAATTTCAAGAGTTAGTAGGCTCCGTGGTTGCTGAAAACGAAAAGTGATCGCCCCTTCGATAGTCTGAAGTATGATTCATATTTTAGTGTGCATTCCATGTATTACATGGCATTGCAGTATGCATATAAGGGAGTGTTGAGATTGTAAGTATCCAACCTGTCGGAGATTAATGTTGAAAATTTTATAAATGTTAGATTACATGGATGGAAGATGTAAAGACCTTCATTCCTGAGCTTCAACTTCTCTCCTCAGTTCGGAAAATAATTTGTAATGATTTATACTATGATGAAAGAAATATATTTTACAGCATTTTTATACAATTGCAAAATACTATTTTATTTTTTTTCATGATGCTGTGATTTTGTAAAATATTCTTATGAATGTGAATGACTTTTTCCAATAACATTTTATGTGTTACTGCGAGGGCATGATGTCCAGCGCATGTCGAATGGTTGCTAGATTAGGGCAAGGCCTGGCAAATGGAATGGCAAATGTCCACTTTTATTTTTTGTCACTCATCGGATACAAGTTTCAGTTGGCGAAGGTCTGACCTTTGTCGACAATGATCTTTCCCTGTTAACATAAGTATGCTAAATCAAAAGCGTTCTTACTTAATTTTCAAATATTTTTGAGCAGTGAAAAATATTTTTGAAAATAGTAAAATTGTATTTTTACATAGTTAATGGTTGGAATCAATATACACTTATATTCTGTATATATAACATAACATACAGTACCTTAACTAATACTACTGTGTGTTGTTTCCTTACAATCAGAGGACTGGACGGTTACTTAATTCACTTACTGGGCTGTTTCTACAGTGCTGCTGACATTAGAAGTACTTTATTCCACTCAATGTCTTTGAAAAATGGGTGAGACCTGAGCCTGGCTATACCATGAGGACCCACACCCAACCGTTTCTGTGCATCAAATTGAAGCAGCTGAAACAAACAATTAAACGTATTAAGAGAAAATGGTTGGTATGGAGCTTGCGAGAAGAAGATGGCTAGGTTGCCTATTCACACCTGACGCAGAAGGTTTGCTCCTTCTTCACACACAGAATTGGGAATGTGCAGAGTAGAATAACTGTGGAATCCGCCAGGGTGACAACTGTGCAGTGTCTGGAACCACATTATTTCATGGAAAAGAAGGTTAAAGAGGCCAGCCACAAAATTATTAAGTCACTTTCATTTTTTTTAAACGAGAATGCAAGTTATTGCTTACTTCTCCTGAAAGAAGGCAAAATAAAATGGCTCCGTAACTCCACCAATCAGCTGCAGTGGTTTTTGCTTGAATACTGCTCATCTCAGGAGCTGCATACAACTGTTCAACTGCTTCAGGATGGACAACTCGATCAACACAAACCCATTCACATTGGTAAGTCAGAACTAAGTTGAGACCCTCTCCAAGAAGCAAATTATCAGGCCGCAAGTCCCTAAAATGAAGATGAAAGTTATTTACAGCACACCAATACTGGGTGTTTAACAACATGTTCATTTCACATTACCCTATTATGACTCCCCAGTGATGGAGCGCATCCAAGGCTAGAATAAGTTGAGCTGCCCACAGTCTGACTGTATCGGTAGGCAGGCCTTGACAAGTACCTTGTTCCACACCAGAATCTACTCTATGTAAAGCCTCTCTGTCAAGGCTCTTAGATAAAGCTCTCGCTCTTCCTTCAAACATGTCCTGCAAATAAGTTTGACAGGATTATAACAAAAATATCAAATAGACTTTAAATGTTTAGTGGAAAATTGAGCTTACATCACAGCTGAAACGAATCCGACTTCGGGAATGACGGGAAGTAGATGGTCGCCGTTCTCTGCTGGCTGACCTATTATTCTCTCTGGAGCTTGAGGGTATTCTACGATTGCTTGTTAATTTGGGACTAGAGTTTCTCAAAGAACTATGTTCTACATCAATTTTACTCTTGTGACAACTGACTTGATTTCTTTCCCGATCTGAATCACTGAAAGTATTATCCAAAGTGAGAATTGTGGAGTGCAGCAGAGCTTTGGTTGCCTCTTCACTTTTAGACAAAGTACTGTTCACAGAGTTCAACAAATTCTGAGAATTCTTCAGGATATCCGAAGTCTCTGAGCTCACAGTAGTTTCTACTGGAATAGGAGTTGAATATTTGGTCTGTAGCACATCAGGTGCATCATGACTTTGATCGAGAATTGTATCCTCAGAACATGATGCCATTTCCTGTATGATAACATCTGGGATAACTCCATGGTTTATTGGCTCCATATTTCCGTCCTCAGTAGTTATTAAACCATTGGTTGCCTGATTCAAAGCAATCCCTAAGTGCTGATCACACAATTTATCACTGACAGGTTTCTCAGGAAGCTTTTCTCCATGCAATACAGCAGAGCATCGATTTTCTTGAGTGTTCTCTGCAGCACACCCATTTAGGAAATAAGCAAAATCGTGTCTTGAACTTTCAGGGTTGTGACGGGCTTCGAAGTATGGGGTAATATGATCCCACAAACAACCCCCTCTGAAAGGTGGGAAAAGAAATCACAGGGGCTTGATGAAAAACTGACAACTCAAGATCAACATACAACTCCACATTAATGCTAGATTTAGAGTAAAATAATATTAAAAAATATTTAAAACATGTCTAAAAAGAAAACAATTATGTACCTAGCTTGTTCTAATATTAAAAAGACAGCTCTTTCATTTTCCATGAAATTATGCAAGCGGCACATAAAGGGAACATTACGAGGTACACTAGATTTAGTCCTTCGGTCAACTGGGAATGAGGATTTATGAAGAACCTAAAAAAAAATTAGACCTTAGTTTAGTAATAATTAACACCATGCCTTAGCTTCCTTCACAAGAGCCAGCAATAAAATTAACATTATAATAATTATACAATACCTTAATAATGTAAGGAGTATTGTTGCTTACGTTCAATGCTAAAATTACTGATGAGACAACACCAAGGACTTTGTACAACTTTAAGTCTCCGACTGGAGCTTCAAGTGACTTAAAGTTTTTACTAGCATCCGTCTCCTGAACCAAAGAGCAACACGCGAAAGTTATGGATTAGTACCTTAAGTTGAGTTGTATTTTATTTATTTATTGATGAAAAGCTCATAAATAATGGAATAATTAACCTGAATTTGGGGTATGTCAGTTGTTTCAGGTATAGTTCTAGTTGTATTGTGACTTCGGTCAAGATGAGTATGATAAATCTGCTCAGCTCTAATCAGATATTGGGATGTCTTCCTTTGGACAAGTGATTTCATTTCATCCGAGGAGTCATCTAATTAAAATATGTACAGTAAAACAAATGAAACAGTATTTTTAAAAACAAGTCAATTCAAAAAATTTACATAAGGATGAAAGGGTTGCCCCACCTTCAACACCATTTAAAAGGCATGATATAGCAGCTTTGTATGAAGAAAAGGCAAGTTCAAAATTCGAATTTGATTCGTGTTGTACAGCCTGGCTTATATGGTATCCTGCATGGGTAATGTAGTCCATCATCAATAGCTCTGAAGAAGTCTCATTCTGGCGTGCCTCTATTTCGGCATCTTTAGGTTCTTGAGATGTTAATTTACAACTTAAGGATGTTTCTGGGCAGGACTGAGATTCACTACACTCTCCCTGCCCACTTTCAAGGTGAGGTACTTCTGCCTTAGGAGCTTCGTTAATGCTAGCACAACGACCAAGGATTAGACTATTAGTTCCTTCCACTATCTGAATTAGTTGGGGCTCTCTTGTATTATCTAAAGATACTTGGCTCTGTTCATCTTGATGAGGTGTCATAATAGGCAAGGAGTGATCTGAAATGAAATTAACAGCAAAACAATTGGTAAGTGCTGATCAAGTGCTATTAATATTTCACAAGCACTTACCCTTACCATGACCACTGTCACTTCTTGCTCTGGATGATTCATCCTGGTTGTGATTCGGTAAAAAAATCAGTATCAATAAGTATCAACAAAAGGGCTGCATTAACAATGAAAAGCATACCATGGAAGGGGAGCCAATAATGCTGTTCACAGAATCAGAATCTGTTAAGGTAGAGCGACTTGAACTCCGAGACAAGGCATTATCACTTCTGAAATATTTTAAGAAGAAGTAAAATTAAAGATGCTGTAGGCTGAATAATGGTAGTTAATTAGTTTACAGTGTGGAATATTATCAGGCCTTACTCTCTCAAAGCACTTGGTACCAAGGGTGATGGTAATGGCAACTGATTTTCATGACTGCAACTTTGGATTTCTCCTGATAGTGTTTCATTTTGACTAAGCTGTTATCAGGAAAAAACACCAGAGAAGAATCAGTACCAATCTTGTCATTCAAAGCACCCTTACTAATGGACCTACCTCAAAAAATTTGACACATGACTGGCTTGTAAAAAGAGGTGGATATTTTGCAACAAAGTCAAGTAAGGTTTGTGCTGCGAGACGTCGGTCTTCAATAACATCCATTTCAAACCTGACAACATGAAATAATGAAAAACAGAAGTTTGTTTTAACATGAAGGACACACATGGCCTTCGATCTTACCTTCCAAAGAGGCAGGGCTTACTAAATGGAGGAAACTCATCTTTAAGATATAATTTCTCATGACGAGACTTCAATTCTTTGTAAAGCTTCTGAAATTCTTTAAAACGTTTCCAGACGACAACTTCGGTTTTGGCTTCAGGACAGTTTCGAGGGTAAACCTAAACAAGGAGATTAACATTTGGCCCTTAATATTCTTTGGCTGGGCAACAAAGTAGTCTGATAAGAATTATTAGACAGTAAAATTAATGCTGTGGTATTTTTGAAAAGTAGTTGCTCGTCACAGACAATGAAAATTGAACAACGGTATTTGAAGAATGCAACAGATTATCCAGAACATATAGTGGTAAGGTGAATAGAACATAGTAAGAGCCTTAAAACTGATTTATCTAAGAACTGTGACAGCCAAGTGAAACGTGGTAAATCCATAGTTGAGGAGGATTTGTAATTAGAGTGTAAATCATACCGTAGAAGTGACTTTGTACACAGTGAATCCTTTGGTATGTCGCCGGGGATTCGTAACACTAAAAAACCTCGTCCACTGATCAGCCATCATTCAACGTAGAGGAGTTCCGATCATAGGATCAAAATTCCTTCCAACATTTCTTCTTTTGACTTCGCCATCGGCGACAGTAAGAGGCGTTTACAGACAAACCGAAAACAATATTGAGCAGACGACGGGTGGATCGCAAGCAGAAAACAAAAGAAAACCAAGGCTACACCGAAAACTATGAGAAATTTGCCATATATGACAATTTAGGAAGCCGTAAACCGCGTGTATTTGTTGTTGTATGTCAACAACAAACTTTATTCAGTTATTTGAAGATTTCGAACTTCGAACATTGCCATTACGATGCACGCTCTTCCACGTTGGAAGGATTCCTGTATGAAACTTCTGAAATGGAAGTCTGGCGTTACGTACTTCGGTGGCCAAGGCAGTCAACCCGTCCATAGATTTGTTATTCCTTTGCACGAAGTTTATCTGAAGATGATCTCTCTTGTTGGGGAAGAAACCACAAGTATGATTTTGAAGAACATGTTCCCGCAGCTTTATTCGTTTCTAATATTTCCTTTATGATTTCATAATGTTTATCTTTCAACAGGTTTGTTGTGTAATTTTATAAAAGATCACGTATGCCATAGTGATAGCCCAGTCATGATTATGCGCGCTAGGGATGGCCTTCTCGCAAAACAATTACTCAATGAAAATGTACCTTATCTCTATCTATTTGAGAAGAGAAAAAACTTCAAATCAGAATTGGGAGTAAGTACTTGCGTTTTAAAAATGTGGGTCACAAACAATTTCAATTTTATCTTAACACTAATCAAATTTTGTTCCTTAGGAATTAACCAAACGGTTTCCAGGAAGATGTGTTGTGTATTCCAGAACGTTTAATGATGTATTTTTTGAAAATAGTCATATACCTGCATTTAATAGTCCCTATATAAGGACAAGCCTCCCGTTCAAAGTTAAGAAAAGTTGGAAAGATGGTATGTTTTCAGCATTCTTTTTTAAGGCCTTGTCTAAACCTTGTTGTTATCCAAATCCTAATATTTTGGTATTCATAGATCCTTCAATTAATGTTATTGGGTCTCATACTAATGGAAAAGTATTGATAGTTGCCTTGATCCACCTTGCCAAAAATATGATGTACTTTGGAATGGGTAGGCCTCAATTTTTTCTTACCTTCCCGAAAGTGCATTGGGTAAGTATGTACAAACTGTAAAAAAAATTTCCCTATGCCTAATTGTCCTATTTTTCTATGATCAATGTTGTCAACTTCAGGATAAGATTTTAATGGACCCCAGAACAGCATCTTATCAGGAATATCAAATGGCAGGGCTCCTGTTTCCTGATTATTTTGACTTTGAGGTATTGGGTAGTATTCCTCCGCCAGTCAGTTACTGTACTGGACCAGTGTTGACTGTAAGTACGCAATCTTCCTACTTTGATTTTTCAATCATGAACATATAATGGACACCGTTTAGAATTTGGTTCTCTCTTCCCCATAGAGGAATACTGTTTCAAAGGAAGAGTTTGTTACTGTAAGAATTGCACCTTCCAAGGAGCTTGAGGATCTTTCCGATGCTAAGGTTCTTGAAGAATATTTATTTTTTGGAACACAAACAATGAATGGTAAAGCTAAGCATAACATCGTCATCCAAGCGTTGGAGTGAGTACATTTCAAAGCACAAACTAGAACTAGACTAGAAACTTATTGATTCTGCAGCAAATTGTTCTTATTGTGAAATGTTTTATTTACAGGAAATTTGCACCTGACAGTGGCATGGAACTCGTAGCCAATGGGGTAAATTGCTTTACTAAATTTAGTGATCTTTCTCCTCCCGAGGCATTACGGATATTTAAAATATGGAGGTCTTCCCCTAAATATTTGACATCACTCTTCATGCGAGAATATGATGAATATATGTTATATAATAATGTTAATGAATAAAAGAAAACTTAATTATCTTTTTCATTTTTGTTTTGTTTTTTCTGCCCATCAGAGGGTTTATTTTATGCTTAAACATTCTGTCGCCGAAGTTGCCGTTGAGGGTGAGGTGGGGGCTTCCCCCCCTCCCCTCCACCTCCCCTGTCCGTTCCCCCCCTCCCCCTCACGCCCTCCCCTTCTCAGTTTCCCCGTGATGACCCATCACAGGCGAAAAGCTTTCCCCCGCGTCCCAATAATCGCTCTGCCCCATATTTCCTCAGCCTCTGGGCTAGCTCTGGCTTTCCTATAGTTTTAAATTTAGGCAGGCATCTAGTAATGCAGTTCTAAAAACTGGCGAGATGATGGAAGCCGCAGAGCTCGCGCAATACGGTGGTAAGTACGCGTTTCTTTCGGAATTTGCTGTGGGACTTCTCTTGTCACGATCGTCTTGTGTTCTTTGTGCAGAAGACTGGCGACTGAGTGTCTTTTGTTTTGACTGAAATCAAAATGATAACATTTACGCGTTTTAACCCAAATGACGATTAGTAATTCGATAAAGAGACCTTCTTAGGATTCATTATTTCCCTACGTTGAGAGGCATAACCTATGTGTTACCTTTAGGCCCCTTACTTGTTCACCTTGAGATGATGCCACCTAACGTCCACGTCCGAAATTCGAAACGCAGCCCAAGTTTCAATATATATTGTATTGAAATTAAGCTGTCATTTTTTCGATATCGCACGTATTATATGAAACTGCAGAGTGGCGGTACTTTTTTGAAAGTTGCGCCTAACCTTAAGGGAGTGGCTGCGACGCTCGGCAAGTCGTTAGTCTTCACTGACACATAAGATGAATTGGAAACAAACATTAATGCACAATCCCAAACATTTCATATTTTCGTAATCCAAGGCTCTCACCACTACTTAACATCAATTTTTTTCTCTCCCTGCTTTGAAGATAAATTTTGTCGTTTTTCTAAGTTTGTAAAATTCAAAGGTCATTTTTGAACCCTATTTCATGGTTGTCTCATTACTTACAAGTATAAAAATCTAACAATATTTATCTTTAAAAACAAAAGAAATTGCTATTTATATGAAGGCAAGTTCTCCAAATTTTTCTTTCCATTATCATGGAGGTTATGCCCCCAATAACATCACTACGCTAACAGAAGACGTTGAGAATGTAACACAGCTCTGGCTCAGAATTCTTTCCTGGTGTGTTCTCCCTCGAAATTAGAATGTTCCAACTGGCTTTGAAGCTGAGTTCATGCTAGTTTCTATGTATTTTATTCTCTGATGCAGATGGAAATGCTGATCAAACTGAATCGGAGGTCTTAGAAGACATCACTGCAGACAAGATCATGGATGGCACTTCTGATACTGGGTAATTCTCATTGTGTCTGGCTTATTCTTAATTATTTGAAAGCATTTTGTAACCTATATTTTTTTGTTTGGTTCAGTTACAGCATTGATTTTGAAAAGCAAGAACTCCTAAATGGTGAGGAAGTTGTTATGGAAGGCCTCGAAAGTTTGAGTGATTGTACTGAAGGAATGGAGGTATGCTGGAATTTTCTAAGCTTATTCTATGTGATGTGATGTATTTGAAACTGACTCAGATATTTCCTTGCAGGTCATTCAATGCGAAGATGTAGAATCAGGTCTGTCAGATGTAGATCCAAGGCACCGTAAAGTTGACAAAGATGATCCTCGAAGTAGGTTGCATTACATTAAGTATTTGAAGAAAGAAGGCAAGCCCATGAAGATGTGGGAGTGTGGAATATGTGAGCAACCATTATTTGCTGTAGTATATTCAGTTGGGCTCCTTGAAGTTTTGAACTGAGGTCGTTTTTTGTTTATTTAGGTGGCAAGGAGTTTCGTCACCAGTATACTTTAATGAGGCACTTGCCCACTCATACTGATGAGAGAAATTACAAATGTGATGATTGTGGTAAAGCGTTTAGACAGGTGAGTCGATTATTTCTGCATATAACCACTTTTACATCATATATTGACATTTCCATATATGTTTATATTTAGATGAGTACTCTATCTCAACATCGAGCTATACATAGTGATGCTCGTCCATATGTGTGCGAGTGCTGCAAAAAGACGTTTAATAGAGTTTCTACTTTAATATCACACCGTAAAACCCATTCTGATATGAAACCACACAAGTGTCCTGTATGTTTTAAAGGTTTCCACCAAAAAGGTATGCTTAATTAAACAAAACATGGACTACTTCCAATTTGTGTATATCATGTATTAATTTTCATTCATTTATTTAAGGTAATTTGCGTAATCATGTATTTACTCATACCAATGAAAGACCATACAAGTGTGAGATTTGTGAGAAAGGTTTCAACCAGATGTCCAATTTAGTCTGTCATAAGGTAAGCTGTATTTGGTTTTATTCCCATAACACTTTCCTGTATTGCAACATCTTCTCTTCAGCAATTAGTTTGTAAAATTACAGGCACATGTACACGGAGACAGATCGAGACATGTTTGCAATTTATGTGGAAGTGAATTTTTAAGACGATATGCTTTGCGGCTTCATCAAGAGTACAACCATGGGATTGTTTATCAAAATAGTGATAGACCTGTATCCAAGAAAAGTCAAGAAGTATCCCACGGCAGGAAATCTGAGTAAGTATTCATACTCAAAATCTTATTTCATTACCTCACTCAATTCTGGATGCTAGTAAATTTTCTCTGATTCTAGTGGAAATGTTTCTTCTCAAAAAAATCAACGGGGCCTTAATATTATGAAGAGTTCTTCTCAGGCAGTGAGAGGGAAACAAGCAGCAAAAACCTTATCACCAGAAACAAAGGTATATGTAACAACAAATTGTTGGTGCTGGTGCTCTACTATGTATAAGATCCCTGAGCTAAATTCACACTGTAATTCTTGCTGTGTTTCCATTTGTTTACCATCAGGCTGCTACTTCATCTGAAGTGCTAATTGATCCAATTGAAACAAAGGCTATGAAGAATGCTAAAGACTCTGGACAGAACACATTTGCTCTCTTCAAACCAGCCAAAGGTATTCCTGTACTGGTGAAGGTATTGCCAGCACCAAATAATAAACAGGTAATCTTTGATGGGTTCTATGTTCATTGTTGGATTAATTTTAGAGGGAGCATTTTAAACCAATGCTGCTTTTTCTGTTTTCAAGATGCTTGTTCCGGCAACTGTTGAAGATCTCAAATCAGCTGGGAAAATTACTGTCTCTCCCAACTATGACCCAGCAAGTAATGGCAGCCCCATTAAAGCTGTGCAAATCAAGGTAATAACTGATTTACTTGTTGACAAATCTTATGCCACTCATATTCTTTTTTCATTTCCATATTTTTCTGAACCACTAACCTTCTCCAGGTTCCTGTTGTGGCAACTGTCATCCAACGAGTTGGAGAAAATGGGCAGCTGACTATAAGCGTTGAAAGTCCTGGTCCTGAGCAGTCAGGTACAAATCAATTTGCCATGAATTGTTTTTTTAATCATTTAACTTTTTTCTGCTTTTGTAACAATTTTTGTAATTTTATTTTTCTATCCTTTTGAAATAGAAACACCTCCCGATGAAGATGGCATCTTGGGACCTGTGTCAGATGATGGAATGACTGAAGGAGATGCTGAGATGGAAGCTGATGAACAAGCTGCAGTAAACACTAAGCTTGATCTTGAAGCTGATGATGATGGTGACGAGGACGATGATGACGCTGCCGACGTCGATGCCGATGCTCAAGTCGATATCGGGCCCGACCTGAACAGGGAGCCTGGAATGGAGACAGACAAGATCAAAACTGAGCCTGATATGATTGAAAGCAACATGATGCACTATGTAGATGAAGACGGAACTCTTATAGCATTAGATGGCAGTGAAGCCTCTCAAATACACTATGTCCAAGATGATGGAACTCTAATTGCAGCCCAACCAACTGTTATTGTGCAACCTGGTGCAGCTTCAGAAAGTGGAAATGAACTCCACCAATCAGAGTTTGTGGTTGGTGAACATGAATCAGGGATTTTGCAAATGGAAACAGCAGATGGGGAAGTCCAGCTTGTGAGAGCTACTGGTGATGGTACCTATGAGCTTATTTCAGAAGAGGAAGCTGCACTGTTTTTGCAAAATCAAGCACATACTATTGAAATTCTTGAAGATAATTCTGATGTCCAAGTAAGAAATATCATGAAGTGACATAAGTAGCAAATAAATTAAGAAGAGTATTGACCATTTGTTTCTTTTCTATTTAGCTTCAGCAAATGCTTGAAGAAGGAGATGATGGGGAAATTTTGGTGAACCAAAATCAACTTTCTGCATTTGTAAATGCTATTCGCTCAGCTGGTTATGAGGCAAGTAGCTAGAAGTATCAATGAATATTTAAAGTGGTTCCTGCGGAAATGTGTGATAAAAAGATTCTCTCTTCTTTTTCAGGTTATGCCAGGTGAAGCAGAAGACTTGGAGACTGACTCTAATGAGTTAACAGCTGTAAAGGTGTGTACTCGTACAAGTCCTCACAATAATTCTTAAAGCTTCATTTCTGTGTTAATGGCCTTTTTTTTTTAAACTGTGTTACAGAGTGAACCAGTTCACTTGGATTTGGAGGATGAGGCAGACTATATGTAAAATGCTTACTCTATGTGATACCTACCGCAGTATAACCCAAATTTTTCACATACTCTCTTCTTGCTATTGAATTACAGAATGCCATTGCTAAATCATCTTTAACCTACTGTTCGGGAGCATTCTTTATTGAATGTTTCGATTACTTTAAGGTCTCATTCATGACTTAAATTTCCAGCAATTATTATTGCTCTCAATTATTTTTGACATTGTAGTAATAGCAGGATTATTTTCCCGCCTCTCATTTGTTTTACTCTGATGCATGTTAAATTTGTGTATGTCCTGCAGCAGTCTAAGCTCTTTCATTTACTTGAAACATCCTCTTGCAAAGTTATGTTACTACTAATACCTGAACTCTGTGGGCTCCCTTATAGCTACTTCTGATTTGCTTGAATTGAATTGTAGCCCCAGGGGAGGGGAGGGGATTGGGGGGAGGTTGGCCAATTATTTTTTTCTTTGTTCACTTACCTGCCTGTAAGTGGCCTTTTCCCACCCTTTAATTGTTTTGTTGGAACATTGGTCACCTTTGTTGCACTCTTTCACATGATTATTGAGTTAGCAATATATTGAAGAGTTTTTATCTGATCACAGTGTTCTAATTGGTTGGTCTATTGTAGCTCAGTGACTGATGAGAGTGGTCTATTGTTATTGCAAGTCCTGGTATGCAAAAATTGCATACTTGAGTTTTGGGAACAATGCTGTTCTGCTTTAATTTTGATTGTAACATTCTATGTTAGATTTATTATTTATATTTGTATGACTGTGAAACATTTGCAGTAACACTGTTTCTCTGGTAAAATATTATAATTCTAGTCAAAAGTGTGTCAGTACTGTCCTTTTAATTTTATATGGCTTTCAATACACAAGGTCTTATAGGGGCATAGAACATTGTTAGGTATTTTCAGATGCTGCACTCAGCTTTGGCATCATTTAAATTTACCCTGGAATAATACAGCCAATGAAATGAGAAAGTGTGCAGCTCTAAAGGGAGAAAGAACTGAAATGATAGCTAAGTAACGGTCTAATATTATAGTACTTCTTTAATGTATATCTTATAGAGAAACAAAAGTTGACAAGTGTCTACAGTATTCTGTTGATTTCACAGCCTGTGAATCCCACTCAAATACCTATGTAAACTTTGATACAAAATCTTTTTTTCTTTTTTCAAAGCACAGAGTACTTACATTTTATTCATAAGACACACACACAAGAAAACTCATAAGTACTAAGAACTCAGGATGCAAAATCACACATCAGCTGATTCATGATATGCAAAGTAATAAACCACATAAATATAACAAGGTAATAAATATAGTTCCCATTTCATCCATAAATTCACAATACCATTGAACTATTGACCAAAGCCTGAAGTGGTGGACAGGGTAATCCATTTACTCATTTCTAGACAATTTTATGCTTTTGGGAGTCAGGCCCTGAGTTCCCATTTGTGGAAATAAGGATTAGATTTTGAGTGCCAAGTTGTCTTCCATGGAGGAAACGCAACACGCCCGACCCGACGCCCGTTTTCCTTGTGCAACAGAAAAATTAACACATCACTTCTTACACCAGCTCCTGCAATAAATTGATTCCCCTGCAAAAAGTTTTTTTAAAATTTATTTCCTTCTTGCCAGTAATAGCTGCACTGACATTTTCAGTTTCTCATAACTTGAATCATAGTTCACCAATAAGTTTGATGAGATAAAGGCTCCATTCCAGACCCTTTCACTTGTTTGCTAAAGTACATGCTCTGTAGGATTACAGTCTTATAGCTATTTACCTGCAGGATTTCTCGTCTTTGCTTATAATTGCCCCCCTCCCCTCCTTAAAAAAGAGAAAAGAAATACAACAAAACAACACTGATCCTTGTAAAAATAGTGCATGGATAGCATAAAAATGAGACCTGGGATTGCTTCTATGAAAACCTTGAGGTAGAGCCAGGCGTTTTTATTTAATCATACTTTTTTTGCCAAGTTATTGCTTTAAAATCTAAGGTCTTATCCCAAAATTACCCCCTCCCCCTATGCTTAGTTAACTCAATAGTTCATCAGCAAGATTTACAGGTTTGAATTCAATAAAAATATTTGAATTAAAACATAAACAAAATTAGACACAATGTAACAAGAAAATATAGAACATTTCCACAATGTTTCCTGAAAATACATAGATGGAAAGGTACACACAGATTTTTGTTCAAACAGAGAATGTTGCACTGTCTCATATTCTCTCACCAAGTAATCGTAATGGGGTATGAATGGCCCAGATTCAAATATCGTAAGCAATATGTTTACTCAAATTTAATAGCATAACAAAGTGGTATGTTAGATTTAGACTGTGTCTGTCAAAAGTCAAGCAGCAAATGTTAGTTGTTTTGTTACAAATCTTGTTTCATAATCATCTTTGGTTAAATACGCGACAGATACAAAAAAAAACGACTAAAAACATTTAAGTCACTTCTAAATTTGCATTTTAGAAATTTAGTAAAATTATGGTTCTTACCATAGTTGAACCTAAAACAAGTCACACATTCACATTGTTCTTTCATCTTCAAGATAAAATAAACCTCACATAGTATTCCTATTAATATATTCCTTTGAGCATATTTCTTTAAACAAAGCATTAATATTGCAAAGACTTTGCCAAGAGAGCGGCAACAGCAGTAGTTTTGTCACCGTGACAATTGCGTAACTCAAGAATAACCTGCCAAGAAAAAAGAAAAATGGGGTCAAATAAGGACATTTTTTAAAGAGAAAAAACATTTAAGAGACCATTAAACTTACATCTTCTCTTGGAAATCCCATTGCCACTAACTCATCCACAGCACTTTCATCAAAAATGTCATTATTCACTCGTGTTATAGGTCCTGAACTACTGGCACCTGACAAGGATTTAAGAAATTGGCAACAATTAAAATTTGATATTACCTGGGCTGATATTATAATCAAGGATAGTAAGGTATTGAGTTTACAAGAGTATTCTACATACCTTCAGCTTCACTTCGACTATCAGCTAAAGCCTTATCCATTTCCATTTTCTCAACTTGTCGAGCGGCATCCTCTGGATTACCAGAGAGACGGGCACACTCTGGTAGCTCATTTTCAGGTAAGAACCTTGTTTCTGTGCCAGTGGTACCAATGCGAAGAATATTTGCCTTTAAGTCTAAGACACACTGAAAAAAAAATTTAGACAGCTACAGTATGGGTTTTAAATGAAATTACATTAACTAGACACTAAAAGGAAATTACCTCATGCCTTCGAAGCATATCTAGGCCTAAGAGCATATCCATTGGCTGATCTTGAAGTACAGAGAAAGAAGTTGTAAGGTGGTCGTTTTCTATTTGAATTTGCATCATATGTATCCGACCTATAATGCGTTGCTCTCCAACACCTTTTGCAATACCTGACCAGCGAGTGTCTACAAGACGCATGATATGGCATCGTTCTGCACATGCACTCGACATAATGGTGGCTTGAGCTCCTGCAAGTAAATGAGACAGTTTATTTAGGTGAATGATTTTCTTGTCTTGCAAATAGAGGAAAAAGTTCATTTAAATACAAACCAGAGTCCACAAAAGCTTTAACTGGATGTCCGTTCACACGGCAATTAATATACAACATTACAACACTACCAAAAGTCTCTGGATTGTATTCAATAGCAGCCTCCATATTTGCTTCAATGTTTTTCCGCTTAATTTCTTCAGCAATTAATCTTTGAGCCTCAGCATCAAATGGATTTGCTGCCATCATCCGGCGGTATTTTTCCTGTTGTTCTCTTCTTGCGGCCATCTGCTCTTGCAGCACAGCAGTAAATGACTCTGAAAGTAGTAGACAAAGATCAAGTACAACTCAAACAGGTGTCCTCCTCATACTGTTGATGACAAACCACATACCCATATTTCCAGAGGCGAGGGCATCTGCAAGTCTTGGGTTGTTTTGTTTCAAGAGGGCCAACTGCTCAGGGTGAGAGAGCAGCATTTGCTTTATGGCATTGGGATCTTCATCTGATCTAGGTCTGCTTGAAGAGTTAGACGTACCAGGAACTTGAATGGAACTAAAATCCATTGCAGGAAGAGGCGCAGCTGAAAATAAATTGCACAGGTAAAAAACGTTTAGAAACTTCAAAAATTCAAATGATGTGATTTAAAATGCATGGTGCACTTAAGGAAACTGGAAGACAATGGTCAAAATATAAGGCTGATATCTCGTAATTTTGGGCCAAGAAAAACATTGTTGTCAACAAAAAGCTTCTTACAATTCGAGGTTAGGGTCAACAAACATACCTCTTTGCACAGCTTGTCCTCGCTGCTGCATGTGCTGAAGGACCACAATGTCCCCATCCTGGACACCGTGTTCCTTTAGGGATTTCTTATCGTCCATTAAAGGTCGCCCATTGAATGCTATATTGATTTCCGAGGCCGGGAACCCGGTTTCTACCTCACAGAACGCTTTAAAGTTTTCCAGTTCCAAATCTTCGCTCACATCCAGAACGAACAGATCGTCCGACAATGTAGTAACAGTCACTTTCATTTTGCTAAAAGTACTCAGCAATCCCGAAAGTAACGATACCAAAACGGTCTACGGCGTCCAGATACTTGCAACTTCACCACTTCACATACACAACTCCGCCATGACAGGCAGACAACAAGAAGCGGTAAGCGGTCGCGTCCGAAGTCGCCTTCGACCAAAGAGAGGTTGGATGGTCGTTGGCCCCGGTGGGCCGCTGGCAACGCACTTGCGCTCTTTTGGGAAGCAGCCAAAAGAGAAAGAAAGGGCGGGGCTGGTGCGGCTGCGGCCTGAGGAGAGGTGAGAGGGGTTGCTGGGTTGCTGTTGCTGTCTCGGTCTGCCACCCCATCCGCCCATCCGACGAACGAACGAATGCTCATTTAATGCGGTGTCGAAAAGATATTTACTACTGCGGCACTTGAATGTAGTGATGGTTAAATGAGTGACAAATATGAGAGGCTGAGTGATCCCTAGAACCGTAGAACGTCATGGCGCTAGGGCGACACTTGCTCTCTACCGCCACCGCAGTGACACGGCGGATGACACCCCCGCCCGTTGGACGCTGCTCGCCCTGCTCGCGCGATGCAGCGCGATGTCGCTGCGCTGCTGCGGTGCGATGCTCCTGGAGGCTGGCCGGGCCGTCGCCACGTCGCCGCGTCGCCGTCACCCCGACCCTCATTCCTCGCGACACCTCGCGGCGCTCCAGTCAAGGGACCCAGGATGCTGCCCTCGTTGCTGTGGTGGGCGCGTTGTCTCGGGGCGCCCCTGCTGCTGCTGGCGAGCTCTGCGCTGGCGGTGTACGCCCTGACCGCCCTGGGCCGCCTCGTGGCCCACCTCGCCCACATGCGTGCCGCCACGCGCGACATCCCTGGTCCTCGCGTGGAGCACATCGTGCGGCTCATCAGGGCGCGCCGGTCGCCGAGGCTCATCTCCGACCTGTTCCACGACGTGGCCCGCGAGTTCACCACCATCTTCAAGTTCTGGACCGGCCCCACGCTCAACGTCATCCTGCTGCGCGCCGACGACATCGAGTGCGTCATGACGGACAAGCGGGTGACGCGCAAGTCGAAGGCGTACGACTTCCTGGGCTCCCTCATGGGCGAGGGCCTGCTGCACCTGAGCGGCGAGCCCTGGCGGCGGCGACGGCGCATCGTGGAGCCCTGCTTCCGACCCGAAGTGCTGCGCGGCTTCCCGGCAGTCTTCCACGACCGCGCGCTCGTCCTGGTGGAGCACCTGCGGCCGGCCGCGCTCTCCGGGGAGGTGGTGGACGTGGGCCCGCTGCTGGGGCAGGCCGTCACGGACATGGTGTGCCACACCGTGATGGCGGCCGACGTGGACACGCGCGCCATGGAGCAGGAGGGGCTGTCCCGCGCGCTGGGCAACGGCTTCGCCATCATCCTGTACCGCGTGTTCAACCCGTGGTTCATGTCCGACTCGCTGTTCCGCCTGTCGGCCTTCTACAAGTACTACAAGCAGTACATGAACCTGTTCGACGACTTCACGATGCGGCTGCTGGCCGCCAAGCGCAGAGAGCGCCAGCGCCTCCCGGCCCACACTCTGACCGACAAGCCGACCCTCGGCGTCCCCAGGAGGCGCTCCGCCTTCCTCGACGTCATGCTGGACACGACGGAGGCCGCACCCTTGAGCGACGCCGAGCTCATGGACGAGGCCAAGACCCTCATCACCGCGGCCACGGGGGGCTCGACGGACGCGGTCGGCTTCGTGCTGCTCTGCATCGCCCTGCGCCAGGACGTGCAGGATAGGATCGTGCAGGTAAGCTGTGTGCGTGGTCGGGAGGGGGGGGGGAGCCCATGTGGGTGACATCGAAATGTTTCTTGCCGCCGTTCCACTGGAAAAAGGAAGTTCTTAAGAGAAATCCGGGGCTTCCCAATTTGTAAACTCAACCTGGTCTATTTCGTGTCCGGGTCATTGCACCGCTGTTGCGCTGAAGAAAATGAGCGATGACGCGACACTACAGCCTCCTTCTGTCTCCCTTTTCACTCGCCGGGCTCCAACTGGTGTTGTATCTCCTCAAAATTGCAGCCGAAACGGCAAGTCACAGGCACCACCGTAAGCGGCGCCACTAAAAGCGTGCCAATCTGGACCAGGGCAGACCGGGGAAGACCGGGGAAGACATGGCGAGCGAGCAAGGCTCTCGGCAGCCCGGCCGAGGGTGCGCATTCATAGGCACACGGTAAAAACAATTCTTAGTTTTTATTTTGGGCCAAAATCGCCTGGAAATGTGATTTAGGTGAGATCTAGGCCTCTAAGGAGAGCGTCTTCTAAAAAAGAAAGGTTTACGTCTTCCTAGATTTTCCAAAATGTTACTTTATTCAAACGTGTCTCGCCTCGTGCACCGCCATCCATCGCCCATCCCGGAATCATCCGAGACCGTAGCTAGCTCATAACACGATGCAGTAAGTCACACTCAGTCCGCCTGCAGGCAGATTCCCAACAGCGTGTCGCGCTGTTGCTCGGTCTCTCTCGCGCCGACACGGGACGCCCCAAGAGTGCGAGAGAGATGGAGCGACGATGTGCGGAATCGGTGCGCTGGAGGTGATGGTTTTAGCTCATAACGCCGTGTTAACGACGCGTGGGCGCGCGTGGGGTAAGGGGCAGGGGAGGTAAGTGCAGGCTCAGGCAGCGAGATCTATCACGGACAAACACGACACTGCCAGGCCTGCCAGGCGAGACGCCGTGGAGCACTTCGAGAGCAACGACACGACACATGCAGCGCGAGCGAGCTTCGGCTGATCAGCGGCGAGGCTCCCGGACGCAATGGCGGCAAGCGGTGGGGTGAGGGCGACGCGGCCTTCCATTGAGCCACCTTTGGCGCCCCGTGTCCATGGCGCCCATGATTGCCTCCAGGAGCTGAGCGACGTGTTCGGCGAGGACGTGCATCGCGTCGCCACCGTGGACGACCTGCGCCACCTGGACTACCTGGAGAGGGTCATCAAGGAGACCCTGAGGATGTTCCCGTCCATCCCGCAGTTCGGCCGCTCCATCTCCCAGGACATGACCCTGCCGTCGGGCTACACGGTAAGGACGGGCCGCCAGTTGTGGTCTAGCCCGTAATGGTAATGGCAATGGGTGCCTAGGCCTTCCCGCCACGCGCTCACGCGCGCGGGTTGCCTACGCACGACTTCGCAGGCGGCAGTGGCAGGTTGTAGGCAGCAGGTAGCGTTGTTAGCCGACGATGTTGGCCTGGGATCGAGGAGTACGAATCCCTGATTGTTCAAAACTGTCCCAGAGAAAGAGTTTT